CATAACTTTACGGAACGACAAACTATATAACTTTCAAATCCAAAGCGAGTCTGGATTCGCCAATACCAACAACATTGTAAAGTTTGTAGTTAAACCAAACATTCCAGATCTATAGTATGCCATGTAGAATATTACCATAATTCCCATAACTGTGGAATGACAAATCATAAATTTTCAAAATCAAACGGTATCTCTGGAATGACGACACATAAGAATTTTAAAATCAAAAGGATTTTCGTCAATCAATCCTAATGTTCCGTATTAGTTTCGTGGGAATTGGTTAAAGCAAATTTAAGTTTTTGTAGGAAGTATTCATGGACAAACTACAGTATACCACAATACACCCATCTAAGACGGGCTTATTAGACCACACTTATGATAATATGCACAAAGGGGATGAATAACACCTTTCTCGTACTTAACAACAATATAAACCACATCTTACTTAAAATTATTATACAGCGAAGCACACCAAAGCTTTTTAGAAAGCTAAAACTTGTTTACACTTTGTTTATTGCATTTTGCTTATGCTCCGTAGTAATCGGATCCAGATTTTTCTTATCCACCGTGTTGCGGTCTCGAGTAATTCCTCCTCGGGATTCGAATCACTCCGCGGATTTCTGATCGGAATATTCGGTGTTAATCGCATTCAAGTTTAAAATTGAGAATGGAAATGGGGAATGTGTCATAGAGACAACAACCCGACCGAAGAGCAGAAAACAGCCGAAGGCCACCAATGGGTCTTCAACACAGCGAGAAAATCCAGCACCCGGAGGCGGGCTTCAGCTGGCCCCTAAATAAAAATGTGTACTAGTTCAGTGAAAATGGACGTCATACTAAACTCCAAAACATATAAATGAACTAAAATTAAAAAAACATACAAGACTAACAAAGGCCAGAGGCTCCTGACTTGGGACAGGCGCAAAAATGCGGCGGGGTTAAACATGTTTTGTGAGATCTCAACCCTCCCCCTATACCTCTAGTCAATGTAGAATAAACAAACACACAGCAATACGCACAGTAAATAGATATAAGAAGATGTGGTATGAGTGCCAATGAGACAACTCTCCATCCAAGTCCAAATTTATAAAAGTAAAACATTGTTTAGTTATGCGAATCATATGCTAGAATTATTCGATTACATTAAGTTTTTAATAACCTTTTTTTTTTAGCAAAAAAAGACTGAAAAAGCACAAAGAAAATTTTGAAACATCTGAAAGAAGAAAGAATCACCGTAACTTATCTTTTTTTCTGAACCAAAAATCTGAAACGTTGAGAAGCTACTTATGGAAAGCCTGAGATGAGACAAAAATTTATGACAGGAATGAATACAGTTAACATACAAGGAGACACAGATGTACACACAGGTAGCCACACACGTATACACAGAGATTAATAAATCTACACAACGGGAGACACTTTTTAAGTTGGTTTATGCCTTATGTGACAGTTAGTTTACACAAATTGGAATATCCCAAGACTTTCTCACAACTACTTCGAATTCGACAAGAAATTTCATGAATGAACCTTACATAGGACCTTTATCGAAGAACTATATAAAGTTGTGCAAGGATTGGAAAATGAATGTGCGGAATATATGGTGTATTTTGTATCATTGATCAGTGTAGTTGAAAAACTAAAAAAAAATGCTAGCATTCAAATTCGAAGACTATCACTTCTGCCATTTTTTCAGCTATAGTTGTTTGTGGCACATTGTATCAAATACTGGTGTTTTATACCTGAATAACCAATAATGCTGGAGTTAAAGATTTTTAAGTTCTATACTAAAGTTATAGTCAGTTTTTTTTAATAGAATAAATATAATGTAGTGTTTATTATTAAAAGATTTGGATGTTTAAAATTTATGTTTTTAATTTTTGGTGTTTAAAAAGTGTTTGATATAAACACCAAAAGTTAAAAGTGTAAACGTTTTAAATCCGAAAATGGTTATAAATATATACAGACTAGTATAGATAGGATATATGTTTAGCATGCTAAGGACTACATTTTACTTTTTAATACATACATGTAGGGTTCGAAAATCTCTCGCGATCTAGTTAAATCATATATGATGCATCACATTTAACGAAAAAGGTACTTGAATGGCTAAGTTTTACTATAATTATAGACGTGTATATAGACTTTATTTTAAAAGAAAATCCTTTATTTTGTCAAAATCTTCAAAACTGTATTGAATTATTCCCGTCTAATTCGCCGACAGCTTTTCCGTATGCAGTGACCTTAACAATGATACTTTGTTAGAATTCAACAACCACAGATCACATGTACGAAGGGAAAACCGTGATGGAAAAGTAAACAAACGTGGAAGAAGTATAGGGTTTTAACCGATTCTTTAAGAAAATTATTAATACACCAAATCATTTAACTATTGTTATGACAATGATTAGTTAACAAATTGAAAGACATGGAAATGTAAAGAAATAAACATCGTGCTGTATTGCCTTTATCATACACGTGTTCTTTTAAAAATCTTTAACTCCAGCATTATTGTTGATTCACGTATGTTTGTTTTGAAATGCAGTAGTTCAATACAATCCTTAACTGGTATTAGACTTTATCTTTTTTTGTAAACTTAGCATTGTAAAAAAAAATGTAACAGATAAACAAGGTTGAAAAAAATTAAATATATAGCCAATATGATTAAAATACAGACCAAATGTCCACGCTTTGCTCACATTGTACGCAAAGTTTGGACACAGTTTCTGTAGTTCAATTAAATTGAATATATAGCAAAGCTAAATAGCGGTGTTAAAACATTTTAAAGGCGATTTTTTTCTTCTAAATTTTGAATTGCAAGTAGGTATATATCAAAATGTTATTTATTAACTCTATGATCCAATATTCATTTGGTTATTTTTTACTACGTATACGGTCGAGAAAATGAAAAGCTACCGAAAAACAATACAGCACCTTTTGTCTACGAAAAGCGCAGCTTTGAGTGCATTAGAAATGTTAATGAGTAAGGCATTGCAATGTTGATGGGCGTTGACACGTATTAAAGGTTAAACACAGACCAATGGAAATCAACTGTGCTTTTCAGACTTTATTATTTTAATCTATAATGGCGCGCTTATACACAAAACGTCTTTTATTTTTATATACTTCCCTCAGTTCGACGGTTGTTTTCAGTAAGGATTTGTATTTCAGAGGCATGTACAGGAATTTGTTGCCGTGAGATTTTCAATGAAGCTTAAAAAACCAAAAACAAATAGTATTCACTCCCCGAAATTATCGCGTTCTATGTCTACATACCATGTTGCCTGCTTTCAAAGGACTAATTGTAGTTTCAAAGGAACTGTGTTAAAAAATTTTAGTTTAAAACCAGTTGTTAAAGTTCATCCATTCCTAACACCGACAGAAAAAACTCGATTAATTGATCACTTGTTTGTTGTGAAAGCGTGCGTCTGGTGACAAATATTTTTCAGAATGCTCAATTTATGGAGAAAAACCTTTTGTCTGAAATGATTGAACATCAAGTGACATAATATATTTCTGGAATATTAATTCTGACACAATTAAAACAGGTACCCAACAAAAGAAGACAGGACAGAAACCAGATTCTCTTTTAAATACACTGGGCTATATAAAGGGAAAGAAAAAGAGGACGGTCCCTCTTAAGGGCATCCGATAGAGTTTCTAGGGAGTTAACTCTTGACGCGACGTTAAGCGTTCGAATTCTCCCAAAACCTCACTTTTGCCGGGATGCGTTTAATTTTTTCCGTAACAAACAACAATACTTTTAGTACGTGCAACCTATTTATCGGTTTTCTGGAAATTTGAAAGTAATTGATACAAAAATTAAACGTAAACACTATTGCCTCTTTATGAAAAGACCGTGTTATTCCTTTTTATATACCTTTATTTACTTTTGGGGAACCTGTAGTTTTGAGTTAGAGTTAGGATTCAATTTATTGTGCTGGTAAGTTAACTGTTTATTCTAATTTAGGAGTAGATGTTCAGTTTGACTAGAGTTCGTTACGGGTAAGAATTTGTGTTATGGTTCCTGTATCTTATGGTTAATTAAGGTTAAAATGGGAGCTATAAAAGGAACAGCTTATAATGACGAAGAGGCAATATTGTATAATTTCTTTATCAAATGTTTTCCCCTACCCTTCACAATAATGTTTTGCTAATTTGTTGTGTCTGCATTTAATTTAAATGTATAGGGTCATTTCATGGTCAATAATACTACATTTTGTTTTATTCTTCCATTTCTGACTTGTTTAAGAAGGCGGAGCCAGACACTACAATGACACATTTAGAGATCAAATCTAACGTTCTGATCTAAGCTCCACCCATTATATGGTTTTCCTGCGGAAAGCATTCAACGGCTGGATAGGTGAGAGCAATTATTAAACGAACGTCCTGTTGGTGTATATTAACATAAAGAGCAGAATTTTACCTACTCGAAGATCATAGGAAAAAATGCTATTCGTGTAACAAAAGTATTGAATGCACATATAACCAATAATGAAATTAATATTGTTGAACACTTCCACTTTCTCTGTTTCATTTGAAATTAAAAAGAAGTTTAAACAGAGCAAATAAAGACATTCTAACAAATTAGATAAACGGGTGAGAGCAATCATTAAAATAACGTCCTATTGGTGCATTTAAATATAAATAACAGAATTTTACCTACTCGAAGATCATAGGAAAACATGCCATTCGTGTGACTTACGTATTGAATGCATATATAACCAATAATGAATATTTTTGTACACTTCCGCTTTCTCTGTTTCATTTGTATTTAAAAACAAATTTTAAAACATCAGATAAAGACATTCTAACAAATAAGATAAACGTTTTTTTTTTCATAATAAGTAATCATTACACTCTCATTTGTATTAAAACACAAAGAAAATACTTCGTATGTCCAAATATAACCACTATGTCTATACCGGAAATAAATGCACGCAGTGAAAACAAATTAGGTTTTAAATTAACTAACGGCTTTTATTATCATGCACAATAAATGGTATAGCCTTGTTGTTCGTAAACGATCAAAAGTGTTGAAATAAAGGCATGGAGTGGTTGTGGTGGTTTTTAAATATTTTTCTTATCCAAAATATTGCATCAATTGATTTTAGAGGTGGCGTAATAACATGGAAATATATAGTAACCGAAAATGAGGTAATCAAATAGATATAAGAAGATGTGGTATGAGTGCCAATGAGACAACTCTCCATCCAAGTCAAAATTTATAAAAGTAAACCATTATAGGTCACAGTACGGTCTTCAACACGGAGCCTTGGCTCACACCGAACAGTAAGCTATAAAAGGCCAATGTCTTTATTTAAGTATACATTATAAACGCTTTTGCGGTATGCCTAATCACTGAAGGAAATTCATTTTATAGCAGTAACACTACGGGTGTCAAATTTGGAGCAGGATCTGCTTATTACCATTCTGGAGCACCAAGGATCAATCCGGGTTTTGGTGTTGCTCAGTCTTTAGTTTTCTATGCATCTTCTGTCGACTTGTTTGTCTTTTTGTCTTTTGTAGTTTTTTTTTTGCCTTGATGTTGTCAGTTTCTCGTCTACTCGGGAGTTTTAAATGTCCCTTTGGTATCTTTCGCCTTTTTAAAAATCTTGTTTGGTTGATTTTTACAGGTTCCTGTGTTAATTTTCTATTAAACCATAATTTCATGTAGCAAAAAAAGGTTGAGTCCTAAAACAAATATTAATATTTTGATGGACTTGTGTTTTAGAGTCCGTACTACTTTACCTTCACGCTCAACCGGATTTATAACATGCTAGTTCTCAAGGTATATGTTTACAACCCCCTCCACCCCGAACACATTATTTTGAACACTGAACACCTAGTACTCGAATACAGCAAGCGTTTAGCAACTACCTCCGTTTGTTGAATAGCATAAACATGACCAACACAGCTAAATAAATTCATTGAATTATATATATAATTATTTACATACAGATGTCATTAACAATTATCAAAAATATGTCCAAACTTTCTTTTCTATATCATTGCTTTACTTTAGGCCAAATATGGCCTTGAAATTTTACTTTAACATAAAATATCAAAGTGGTAATAATTTGGTTCTTGCATTGATATATTTCAAAAGCATTACTTCTAGGTTAAACAAATCTCTTCACTAGAGTACATCTTTGCTTCAAAGTCGGCACACTCTGGATATATTGTCAAAAAAACGAAGATTTTGTGCATTTTTTGGACATGAAAGCTTGAAGAAATCATTGCCCGCAACCTAGGATCCAAAATGTCCTGTAGCTAAAAGCTGCCAATGATGATATTGAATACCTAGACACAAAAACTTTCTGGAGCAGGGGTGGCGGCAAAAGTAAATTATGTTAAAAACTGTTAAGAATTTTTTACAATTTGACCTAAATTGAAGTTACAACACAAATACTGCAGACTTGATGAATCATTCCTTCGTCATTTTTAATGTGATGAGCCAAAAAGAAATTATTTTGTATCAATAGTTATATCACAAATATTTCGTTCTGAAATTTGTAGTATTTTAGCCTGATTAAAAAAAACCCATCAAATTCTTAGGGCCAATGTTAACCCTTCGTGAACTTACTCCTTTGTGTTTTAAAATGATCACTTATATTGTTGCTTGTTGTTTTGATGATCACTACGTTAGAAGTTGTTATAATTTAGATAATTGACGTCTTTTGTATCGCTCATGGTAAAATATTTAGCATAAAGAGCCAACACGTGTTTAAGTCATTATTAAAATAAATATTGTTCTTTTGTAAACGTTGGAACATCAACGACGTCAATACTCTCAGCTTACACGTCAGTGTCACGTACATGTAGCAGGGATCGAGGACTATATTACTGTTTCGGAGTTTGGTTCACTTGTTTTTTCATTAGGTGATGAACTAAAGGGCATACGGTACAGTGTTGGTTCCACGGTTAATGTTTAACGAAAATTAGCATTCAAGCTATTTTCCACTTAGTCAATACACATATGTTATAAAAATATACCTTGATATGCTAGTTTTAGAGATGACTGGGATCAAAACTTTAGAGATTTACTCCGATTTCGGTTTCTTGGACGGACATGCATAGCTTTTTTTTGTTTCAAAAGATACACACAACACAAGCGGAATATTTTCTTTACATAAATATGCCCATAATTTGTGTAACAATTCCTTTTGAAATAATTAATTTTATATTAAATCTTGATGATTTAAAAAAAAACGGCATTTTTTTATGTAAATCTATCTAATTAAGAAAAAAATTATCAGTGATTTTTTTTGGATTTTTTTATAAAAATTGGTACAAATAATCTTTATACATTATCAAGCCAAATGTCAAATGTAAAAAAGAGGGGTCCATGTACTCGTTTTCAAGCTAATGATTAAAATCAGTCAAAACATTCATTTTCCCCGATAAGTCCAAGTTTGACGTCGCGAAAAAACCCATTTTACGTTAGCAACGTCATCACCTCCCCAATAACTGTATTGTATGCCCTTAAAAGGTAGTGTGTTGCTACATCTTTTTGTACTGGTTTTGATATATTTCTGATAATGTTCTATTATCTTTTCTTTTTTTATTTCATAGATGGCCGTAACATACAATCTTTCTTACCGTCCTATAGATAGCAATAATATATGCTCTCCTTATGAACTGGGGAATGGAACTTGGTGTGGAGAAGAAGACCCGTTGGGGTGTTGCAATGACTGCAATATGACATTCCGGTCGTACTATTGTACTTCTTATAATAATGATAATACAATTGGAGAGATGACACGTTATATCCCGTCTTACGAAACGTATGACAACAAACTGATATTTGGGTAAATGTTATATACTTGTTAATGTATATATAAAATAATGGCATTTTTGTTTTTGATACTGACTTTATCAGCAAGAATATCAAGCGAGCCCGCTAGGGCGAGCTGATATTCGAGCTGATGAAGACAGTATAAAAAAATAAAATGTCATTATTCTTTTATAGGCAACTTATCTGAACTGTATGTTTTTTTGGTTGAGAATATGAAGTAAAATGAAATAGTTTAGTAAAACTACTTTTCCCGCGTACAAAACGTTGGGATAGTTTTTCGGTTGTATGAATGAAGTCGCGTGCATTTCATTGATAAAATGATGCGGATGGACTTGAGCACGTGACGTTGCTGCACTGAAACATGACGTCATTGCCTAATATTTTCGAGTATCAAGTCATGTCCATGATCTTAAAAATATTAGGCAGTAAGATCAAAGGGAAAATGTTCAAATTGCAAATGAAATGATATATATCATATGTTTTATTGATTGTTTGATAGAAATTGATATACAATTCAGGATTTTGTCCGGATCAATTTTTTTTCGCCACCTCTTTCTTAATGGAATTAATTTGCCCAATTCCAACGATTGCCTTCAATTAAGATGTCAAAAATTGCTTACAAAATATTATTATGAACAACAGGGGCGGATACAGAAATTTTAATGGCGTGTCACCAATACGATATTTGAAAACGTTTCATTTTCTTATTAATAATTCAGGTCATGAAGGTAGTAACAAAGCAAATGTTTACCAAAGGTTTACAACATCGATTCCAGTTTCATTTTTCTTTGATATCTGCAAGCAAAAGTGTAAACGAGCCCATAAAGTCTAAGTGGAAATTATAAAGCACGTACAAACCCAAAGTATTGACTGGATAATAGAAAAATGGTCATCTGTTGGTCTTCATCAGACTGGCAGTAAACCGCTTATAAAAGGGGTGTGTCCTTGTGGCTGTTGGGGTCAAGAAACAGTTTTAAGTTTTCGATTATAACGCGGCCGTCTGGGTACTTGATATTCATCTCCGGGAGAACAAGAGTCATAGCAATGCTAGGTACATTAAGAGTCGTTGTTTCTTCAGATTGGGGCTGATTTGTGGTTTTTCATGAAGAAAAAGGGGTAAAAGACGCAAAGAGTCAAAATTTGAAGGAAATCTATATAGGGTATAGGCTTTAAGATGCTAATAATGGGCGAAAGACAATAGGGCTAAATGATAACTGTGACATCGGTATCATTTAAGCTTAACATTTTGGGGGTAAAATTTACATTTGGGGTAATGAACTGTTTAACTTGTACAGGTAAATTGCAGATAAAATTTATCTTTATCAGTACCAGTATTTGAGATAAAACATGCAAAGTAACACTTAAGAATAGTTTAAAAAAACACAACCTACATTGAAATACGGTAATTTGAAAAACATGCTTGTTTGAAAAGAAAAGAACTTTCAGTTTTACACAATTTAATGGAAAGGAGTTTACAGTTGATCAGGCAGTATCCGAAGATTTCAGTTTTTAAAGGATGTTATTTTCAAATTATACCTGCACGTTGCACAAAGTGTAAAAAGGTTATTTAATGCTATCAATATTCATCTTGCTCAAAATCCCACTCCCTTCTCACTGTGACGAGCAGACAGAAGGGTACATTCAACATGAACATGTTATTATTAGAATGTCATTTAATAAATGAGCTGCGTCGGATAGAAATCGACCGTATGCAAGTGCACTAATAAATGTGCAGGTATCAAAAGAGAGGCGAAAGATACCAACAGGACATTCAAACTCGTAAGTCAAAATAAACTGACAACGCCATGGCTAAAAAAGAAAAAAGACAAACAGACAGACACTAGTACACAAAACACAACATAGAAAACTAAAGACTGAGCAACACGAACCCCATCAAAAACTGGGGGTGATCCCATATGCTCCAGAAGGGTAAACAGATCCTGCTCCACATGTGACACCCGTCGTGTTGCTAATGTTAGTAGAAACCCGGGGATAAGTCTTAATGCGGTAGGTAACATTCGGGCAAAATGAGACGGGATTGTGGTTACGACAATTGGAACATATCAAACTTTGATTGATTTTGGGACATTCAAATATGAAATAAAAGATGAATTTTGTTATGTTTTGTAGGGTTTTTATATTAACGCAATTTCAAACATTTGCTGAGTTTTCACAGAGATTATTTTCAACCCGAAATAATTTAACAGATGTATTGGTATTCCTTTGCATAAGGTCGATTTCTATCTGACGCAGCTCATATATTGAATATTAATAGATAGTTAAAATTTAGATATGATACCTGTAATATACCTGTACATGGTAGGATTAGCCCAAATAATTTTAAGAGTGGTCATACCAATATACATTAATAATGAAATACAAGGGTGAATTTAAAAAGACATTGACAAATGATGGATGGAAGGCCTACTCCTTAAAATAATTGAATTAAATATGTCTCTATTAGAGACAGTTAATTTTTCATATTTTTAAAATACAACTGTCAAAAAGGAGAAATACATTGTTTTGCAAGAAGTTCAGTGTTGCAATTTGTTTCTCTATTTATTCTTAGACGATCAATAATCTGCGAAAAGCAATGTCCCAACATTTACAAAAATTTCAATTTTGTGATCTAGTAATCTATGTGCTCTGATAAGCCATTTAAAATATGACAAAATGTTGTTACAACCTCTAGAACAGACATAGCAAGCTATGAAATCAAAAATTCATAGAATTTCGCAAAATGGTCCACATGGTTAAATCAACTCTACCTCAAAATGTCATTTCTTACAATGTATAAATATTCATATGACTTTTGTATAAAAAAATCTTATCTACAAAGGAGTTATTTGATTTTTTAAGCTTATATTTATGACCCTATTAATATCGCCATTGATTTTGTCAATTATGAAACTTATCCCCCTTTCTCTTTTCCATTCATGATCAAATTTATTTTTCCTCTTTATTAATTAAAATTGTTCACAACTGAATATTAGGCATCACACAATCACAAATGTAACAATAACTGATAATGGGTTAAAGCTGCGTCAGAATACATTGGCTATGTCGCAGCAAAATACAAAACAAAATATGTTATATAATGAATTTTATATAGGTATGAAGCATGTTGCTGGAAAGACCTGGTCGAAGGCGGTGATTTAAAAACTATATCCATGGTGACTAAAGTAGATTTAACTATTCGAACTGACACAGGAATGGTCAACACGTCGCCAATATCTGCTATACAGCCGGTTGTTAGAGTGAAACAAGGGTGTTCATTCTCAATTCATATTCAAGGTATTTTCATTTGAAGTAAACAATGTCTGAACGAGCTTTGAATAAATAATCAGCTCTATGGAAGTCGCCAGAAGTGTTTCAAAAGTTTTGAAAATAATGGTACCATTGAAATTATAAACCATGATATTGATTCACGTTTAAATAAATATATCCCTGTTTCAAATTATTTATAATGATAGATAAAAAAAAATAGCTAAGACATATATGCAAATTTCTTTCTTATATCACAACTAAAAGGCAACAAATATGGATTTTTTTCTTCCCTTATCTTATTAGTTTTTGCATGAAAGGCCTAAATGTTTTTAACTTTGAATTTCCAAATACGGCATGTGATTTAGAAATGCATATATACATGTATATAGGTATGAAAGGTGTAACACAAAATGCCAGGCAGTTGAACAAAGTTTAAAAATTGAATATTAAGACATTTTCTTAAAATTATGTAGTGTAAACGACAAATATTTATCTTTTTTAAAAGCTTATTGTAACTAAAATGAAGACGCCATAAATTCGTTTATCGTGTTTTTAATCAATTGGTTTCGAGAATATACAAATCTAATGAAATGATTACCAATGCAAACCTTTACAATATGCTTTCGATATAATAGGCTCATATAGTCACATGAATATAGATTATACCCCTGCGTCGAGTGTGCCACGATATTTCTCCACTCGAGACAATTACATATTCAAATTTAAAACGCGGGACTCGGCGAGCGATTTAAACATTTAAAATTTAACTGCCGAGACTGGAGAAATATCGTATCACACTCGATGCAGTGGTATAATCTATGAATGGGCTTACAATTAGAGAAATAAAGATAAATCATTTGTTAATACATCCTAAAACACATTCATGATAAACGACGAACTACACAAAACAACCTTAAATATGCATACTAGGTAAAAAAAGGGGGGGGGTATGGTAGTTTACCGATGGTCAAAACTCGTAAATCCATTTGAAATAAACCAAGCATGAAAAGAATTGTATGTCTTAAACTGAAGATACGGTGCTTCGATAGAGTATACGTCTCCTGCTATGCGAATCTCCCTTGAAAAATACCAAATCAAGAGTCTCTGCTAGTAATAGGTACCATATTTGTTTGGTGTTGCAAAAATTTAAGTTTATCTGATATAATGTGGCACTGTAGTATATTCTTTGAGTGGCTTGATCATGTCTTTCTCAATGATTGGAGAAGTTATTGCCTACAATAACATGGTAAGTCGGTTAAAAATGCTGTCCTATATTGAGCACAGCTACGCATCCCTGGCTTTTAAATAGTTAGGCTTGAGTGTGAAGATTACTAAAGAAAAACGATTTGGACGCAGGAAATTTAAAGAGTATTTATTTCATTGAATGGTCTGAAATGTTTGGAATTACTTGTAGTTTATTAAGCATTGAAGCGATAATAGTGAGGAAGAGACATGATCTAATTTTGACAGTTGTTTTGTTATTCGTGTTGGTTTTTGAGTGATCATTTATCTCTAATTCAACATGGATGTCCTAAAATTATCTATCTGATTATAAAAGTATAATAAAACGCATGAATTTAGAGATCGTGTCCTATTCCCTATTTTGTCTAGTGGTGTGAAGCTATTTTCGATAACTTTTTAACTTGTTAGGGTCCGTATTGTTAAAAAAACAAGTTAATATTATACTACAGAGCAGAGCTGTGCTGGTTAGGTGTATGTCCAAGCGCCGTTAAGGATAGCTGAATTGGTCTAGTCAGAAGATCAGAAAACAAAATTTGATTTCTTAATTTTTTCTTTTTTTTCTTACTCTCTTGCCTTTCTCAAGTACTCATTAATCAATTCAAAACTGTAATTCTTAAACCTCCACACAGCACAAAAAGTGTTTACGAAGTAAAGTGATACATAACGACAGTACTTGATATACTAGACCTGTATAGGTAAAGTTCTACCAATCTTATTGCGAAAAAACCTAAAGATTATTTTCGTCAATATAGTATTTATTAATATAAAAAGCTTAATGTTGATACAGTTAAGGACGACGATGGGGACATAGTCAAATGTCGATGGGCGAATAATAAAACAGCAGATGAATGTGGAGGGATTTGCAATGGATTAAGCGGTTCTATTATGAATGTGGTATGTAAATAAAAATATATCAAAGTGTACATGGAGAAGCGTTTGACTGTTATCAAAGCGTTTATATCTGAAAAAGAAATCTTATTTTCAGCACTTCTGTGTTGACATGAATTATCATTGATATGGTCATAATTATAAATTAACTGTTTACAAAACTTTGAATTTTTGAAATACTAAGGCTTTTCTACCTCAGGAATAGATTACCTTAGCTATATTTGGCAAAACTTTTAGGAAATTTTGGTCCTCAATGCTCTTCAACTTCATAATTTATTTGGCCTTTTTACCTTTTTTGATTCGAGCGTCACTGATGAGTCTTCTGTAGACGAAACGCGCGTCTGGCGCAAATACAAAATTTCAATCCTGGTATCTATGATGAGTTTATTTTATTATTCTTTGTTATTATATGAATTTATCTTATTGACTGTTATAAAATGGGTGTCGGCCTGATATTACTGTCGTACTTTTGACTGCCAGACAATCAGACTCGATGATATATGGGGTTATATGCATATGAAATGCTGTATAATTTTTCGAGCAAAATGCATTCATAGGTATTCGAAGCTATTGTAAATGTTTTGCTAGTATTATACGACTGTTATGTGAAAATGTTTAAATAACTAGTATTGCTATACGCTGAAATCAAGAATGAAATATTAAGTTACATGTTTGTTTATATATCATTCATTTTTGTTGTAGTGTCTGTTTGCATTTTCTGCTAGTCTTTGCCAAAAGTTGATATTGAACTGATTTTGACATGTGTAACTTATATTTATGAATTTATCATGTTAATAAATAGCAACTGTCATTTATTCAAATAGACAAAATGAAGGCCATTGTTCACATATTTACAAACCATGATAAAAAATCATTATGAATCATTAGTAAGAACAACACATTATCTATTGTAACATCAGCATCGAACAGGATTGATCAGGCATGATCTTTACATTGACCAATCAGAACGATGTTAATGGAAAGAAAACTTTTTCTTTACTGTTTATTATGAATACTGAAATCTTTGTATCCCCATTAATTCGATAATATGTACTTGAGATATTATAATTTCATATTTTTTGTAATGATTATTATAGGTAATGCTCTAGAAAAAATGGAAATATACAAACATCAATAGAAAACACTTTTGGTATTTTTGTAATTGCATACTTCAATAATGTCTTTAAGGAAACATGTATCCTCTCCTATAATGCAACTGGTAGCACAGGTTGGTATGCCGTTGCTCTTCAAATTGAAGATTTTGTCAGTCAATCAGACATAGATCCACTCAGTAGCGTATCATTACAGTTCCTTATCTTTGTTTATTCATCTACTGAAACCTGTGACAACAGACCATCAATAGATACATCTACAGACAAGAGTGGAGCTCTTATTTTGATTTTGTCGAATACAACATATCACAAGACCATCATAGCAAGCACACATTCCATCAATTCCAAGTAAGTTAGACTTCACAATGCATAAACATACCAGGCATTTAAGTTTAGTAAATGAAAAGGCGTGGGAAAATAAAATAAAATTTATGAAGAGGCATTGTAAAATTAAATCTATGATATAAAAAAACTAAAGACAAATCTTTCTTTCTTTGGTTCAGTTAGGTTTCAAAGAAATATGCGAATATACCAGAATTTAACCCATTATTTCTTATTGCAAAAGAGGGAATTACAATAATTATAAAAGGAGACAAGGCATATAAAAGAATGCATGTTTATTTCGCCAACAAGCTCATATACTTGTGTTGACTGAATGTGATAGGTCTGTTATGATTATTTTCTTGGTTAAAACTGTGTAAGACTGTGTTAACGTTGTCAGAGTTTTGTTTTTTTCTTTATCTATGTAAACATTGGTCAATTTCATTCTCATATATTCATGTGCGGTTCATTTTAATGTATGGAATGCTGGGATTTTATGAAAAGTGAAATTTAAAGAAAAACTCACCATTGGTTTGAGTTACGAATTATAAGAATTAAATGCATTTTCCTCGATGTTATTGATGTGTACATGACTAGCTTTCTTAAAAAAAAAAATAGTTGGTGTGCTCGAGTTCAAAAGGTTTGAAATACAAATACAGGAAATGTTGAAAAAAATGACACTTTTCTCAACCAGCTGAAACCAATTCACTAGTTTTCAGTCTTGTTGAGAAGTATGTTATATGGTAAAACATGTAAAATACATTTTACTATTATTTCAGGATTAATTAAAATTTACCGTAACAAATAAACTCGTCTCCTGAAGGAACAGTTTTATATCTCAAATGCTGAAATTGGGAAATTTTCTTTTTCTCTAGGATATCAGAAATAAACACTGTGTCACCAATTGGGATGACCAAGTCTGCGCTGTTGAAATATGGTTTAGTCGAAAGTCAATGGTATATTAATGTAACATGGACCCCAAAAGAAACACACATCGGAAGTCACCAATTCTGTTACGCGGCTTTTGATACCAACAGGTAAATGATAATATTTATGTCTCTCAAATGTCTTGCATTGATTTCCATTTTTATTATTTTCATAAATGACACTTTAACTGATTCAATTTGATTGATTGATAATTTAAAAAAAAAGCGCTACTTAACTTGATCCCTTCAACATCAAGTGAAATGCTGAAGAAAAATACTTTTTGTCATTTACGATAGCGATGCTCGATCCAAAGATATGACTTAATGAAAGTACGCTTTACCATTTTTCCAGCTTGAATATCGTTAAGCATGATGTACAATCAACCTTTAGACATTCTAATATATTCATGTCCATATTCGTGAACGTCGTCAGTGGGTGTTGTTTTGTCAAATTCAATATTTTTATCACGTTAAGAATTTGAGTGAAGATCTTTGTTATCTATGTTTTATCATTTCACATCTGTTTTGGAAACAGAATGATTTTGAGCTAGAACATTTTTTAAAGAGACCGAAGGTTGACCTTAGAATGTCTTTTGGTTATATATTTGTTTCATTTTGTTTTTTCTTCTCTCCATCGTTTATCTCATATCATCTTTTATACATATTTGTTTGTTGTAAACTATATCTTCTTATTTTATAGACAGGTATCTGATCAGATATGTATTACATTAAAGGTGATAAATAGTAAGTGGCTTATAATTATTATCGAGTAGAACAGAATTATACATATGAAATGAATATATCAAGTTGGAAAATCTTATACGAACAAAAATGCACTGAAAATTATCTCGTATGAGATGTTTTGCGATCGGAAGCCTCTCACCAAATACAATAATCAACAAAGTCGTTGCTGATGTCATTTAATGACTTAATCATAATAACTTAATCATGTTAATCCGGAATCTTCAGAATAAAAAAATGATTTAAAAAAAATGGAAAGTAAAAAAAAAAAGAAAAAAAAAAAAATTGAGCCACAAAGGAATAAAAAATGAGAATACAATTATACAAATTTCATAAGTCAGAAGCGTTTTTGTACCTTTACCTTCATCAGGCACAGTAAAGCCTAAACATTTGCAAGGCAACGATGTACAAGTACCGAAACAGCTGAAGAGGTATATGACTGAAAAAGGATAACATATTGGATGAACAGACAAAACTTGAGTTTGAATATTGTTAAACAAATATCTTGATGTGCTCAGGAGTTGTCTAAATGTTTGTTTTGTTTCTGTATTTTATTGTTAGAACTTCTACCATTTAAAAGTATGCTCAAGTGTTGTTTCTTTGCTTTCTTTTTTTTTCGGGTGAGTGTAGTGATTTCGTTTCATGAATAGCTACACGATAGTCTTTCATGTACATCAGAATGCGTTGTGAAGGAGCTGTTTATTTCATACGTGGTTTATGTCCAATTGTGTGGAAAAAAACGTCACAGAGCAATTTATAATTTTAGTATTTTTATTTTAATTTAATTGTTCCTAAAACAACAACATTAAACGTGTAAAACCGAATACAAATAAGGATTAAAAGATCTGTAACAAATATTTCTCATCAAATATTTCTCGTGTGTTGTTGATCAAATTTCATGCTTGCATGCACAGCGACAAAGATTTTTTTTTGCTGATTTTTACGGAAATGAAATTCTTGTCTTCTATGAAACATGAGTCGATAATGACAAATGTAATTGTTAGCTACACTTTTCAATGAAATTGATGATTGGTTGATTGCTGACGTTAAAGTCATTTAAGTACTCTAAGATATTTCATGCTGGTCAACTGGTTTTTATTTTTAGTGCTCTTGAACTTTGTATTTGATTTGGTCTTCCATTAGTTTTGCTTCGAGCGCCACTAACGAGTCTTATGTAGACGAAACGCGCGTCTGGCGCTCAAAATTATTACCAGTCTTTGATGTGATTTTACTACCACCTGCGTCGATGCCACTACTGATGAATGTTACATTCCCAAGATATGACTAACCAAGAAGCAAGCATTTTTGTGTTGACATGAAATGTCAATTGTATGTTCATTTTCTGCAAATGTAATGTCCATGCAATGTTGAATTATTCGAAACACTTAAGTCATATTCAGAACAACTTTTCCAAATTTTACGGTTAAAATGCTTTTCAACTTCAAATTTATTTGGTCCTCCAACTTTTTCATTGAGCACCATTGATTAATCTCATGAATGACGGGTATAGTGTTTCAAACTATAATCGAAACACCTTAGACGAGTTTTTATAACTTAATGAAGCAGGAAATACCGTGTCAGAAGCATAATCTTAGCCAGAAGTGACATTGAAATATTTTCAAGCTAAGACCAGAACAACTTTTATGTTTATTGTAGACCCAGCACACTTTTGCCCTGTAAATCTGGATTCATTTAAAACAATTTGGAACTTAGCTCAAATTGATACAAATGTATCGGTTTCATGTAGTGGTTTCTATACTGGTATTGTTTCAAGATACTGCGACAGGAGAGGACAATGGGAAGAACCAGATTACAGTCAGTGTACAAAAATAGCTATTCAAAGCCTAAAGGAACAGGTCAGTTATATTTCAATAACTGTTAAATGGAATATTTTTCGCTTATCTCACGACCAAGTTAGCAATAAAAAATATCTTCTAGCAAAAAGTTTTCTTCAAGAAGATACATATATATATACTAGGCAAAAAAAGAAACATTGGTTTTTAATTAAGAAAATTCACACATATCAATTTTTTCAAGATTAAAACAAGTGACCTGAATGATTTATCTATCAAATTTATTCATTTGTAAAAAATTCGGAAATGACGTAACGTCATTTTCTGATTTCAAACAAATAAGCACTTTTTAAAAAAAAAAAGTTACCTGTATTGAGATGGAATCGAGTTGTCATTTTAGTCATTAATTGTGTCAAAAACTATTGTTAACAAAAGGTCGCATTAAAAATTGAAAAAAGTTACACGTAAGTCAATGCCCCGTTTACGCCAAAATGAGAGAGAACGAGCTATTGGGATGTTGGCAGCAGGAATGACTCAAATGCAGGTTGCAAATCATTTTAATGTCTCTAGATTGACTATTGCAAGGCTTAAGACTCGTCTAAGAGATACTGGCACAACAAATGATCGTCCCTGAAGTGGCAGGCCACATGAGACGAGGTTACGTCAAGACAGGCACATCCGCATTATTCATCTCCGGAATCGGTTTGTAAACGCGTCACAAACAGCACGACAAACCCACGGAAGAAATTACAACAGAATTCTGCCCAAACAGTTCGTAACCGATTGCGTGAAGTTAGTTTAAGAGCACGTCGTCCGTTGAAGGGACCTATACTTACGCAGAGTCACAGGGTGGCGCGACTTCAATGAACTCGGGTACGGATTTGATTGAATAAGCTAACATGGAGACATGTTCTTTTTACCGATGAATTCAACTTGAAATTTAGCAACGCCAGAGCCAGTGTCTACCGGAGGCGCAATGAACGATTTCCTGATGCATGCGTACAGGAAACAGATCGCTTTGGTGGTGGCAGAATTATGGTATGGGACGGAATAACCTACCAGGAACGCACCGAGCTCAAAATTATTGATGGTAACCTAAATGCAACAAGGTATAGGGACTAAATTCTGGCTCCATTGTTCTCCGAAGGCATCGTTTTAACCACGTTTTTCAGCAGGACAATGCCCGTTATCACGTGGCAAGCATTTCGATGAACTTTTTGGAGAATAATCACATTCGTGTGTTGCCATGGCCAGCAATGTCTCCAGATTTATCGCCAATCAAACATCTTTGGGACGAACTTGGACGACTTTTCATAAATAGCCAAAATCCACCGGAAACGCTCGCCCAGCTCCAAACAGCACTTTTCAGGGAATGGAACAACATCCCCCAAGACTTTATTCGACTTATAATTGATTCAATGCTACGGAGGTGTCAGGCGGTCATAAATGCAACAGGTGGTCATACACGGTATTGACATGTTAACTTGAGTTTTGTACTCGTCCTGTTAAAATTGTCCGAAAATGTGCAATATTGTTTTAAATAGAGAAAACTTGTTATTGTTCTCTTCAAAATGATGTGAGCTAACTATTCCATTAATTTATTGTTATCAATTTTTTGCTATAAAAATTATAAATGATCTTACAAACATGTAACATTTCTTTTTTTTGCCTAGTATATATATATGTATAACATGTATAACAAAATTATTTTCATTTACCTGTGTTTAAAGTAATTGCAATTGGCTGATATTTTTGTTCAAGCATATTGTTTTTCTTAAATTGTTTAACATTTCACAGCGGTATAACATGTTACTTTAATTATTCTTCCCTTAGTTTATTTATGTAGTATTTACATTGTATCATAGATCAAATTATTTGTTCAGTGTATGTTCACTGGTTTTAATATGTCTTTTGATTGAGTTAAGCCATTTCAATTGATATTTTATAGTGTGTCTTTCTATGTTGCGATGTTACACTATTGTTTCAGATAAGGGTGAAGGTTTGGTACAATTAAAACGTTTAAACCCGCTGCAATTGTTTGCGCTTGTCCTAAGTCAGGAATCTGATGTTCAGTAGTTGTCGTTTGGTGATGTGGTTCATAAGTGTTTCTCGTTTCTCGTTTTTTATATAGATTAGACCGTTGGTTTTCCCGTTTGAATGGTTTTACACTTGTAATTTTTGGGCCCTTTATAGCTTGCTTTTCGGTGTGAGCCAAGGCTCCTTGTTGAAGACCGTACTTTGACCTATAATGGTTTACTTTTATAAATTTTGACTTGGATGGAGAGTTGTCTCATTGGCACTCATACCGCATCTTCTTATATCTACATAATGGGAAAAAAGCGCGAAAAATAAAATCTCGTTAACATATTTGACCCCTGAAGTCGCAAATTGTATGCTGTGCGAGATCAAATTTAGACAACAGTGGTTGACCGATGTACACAGTTAATAAATCGATTCAGAAGACAAATCAAGTCAACAATCACAAACTGTGATAGTCGTATGAATTCCAAAAGCAGCGATACCGGGTGCAAAGACACCGTAATGTAAACCACTTTACACATGTGTTACAGGAACAACCAAACGGCGAAAGCTGTTCTGGCATTTTTCATGTTTTTGTTTAGTATGAGCATTCCTATTATGTTTCCCTGAAGAAATCTCACAATTAATTTCAAACTATTTGTTTTGAAGACCTATGAAAAATATTGTATCTATTTCTTCCCTCAGTCAAGTAATTTAATTGAAGAAAACAATACGGCTACCGAGGTCAGCAAAATACTGGAAGATTTGAACATTATCACGTGGAATAATATTACGAGTGGAGATTTAGTAACATCTTCCAATATACTGAAGGACATTGCTGATTTTGTTGCAGAAAACACAGATGCACTGACAAAAAACCAAATAGAGGTTTGTATTCTAATTGTTTTAGGAACAAATATATTGAAATAGTTACAAAATTGTAAAAGGTTTTCGGTCATAGCTTACTATTACTCTTTGATTAAAAATAATTTCATGATTATTCTTTTGATATCTTCCAAACTAAGATGCAAGTTCGGGAAAGTATCACTCCATGTCCAAACGAAAAATAACACACATACAAACACCAGTAAATAATACACTGCATCGAATATTAAACATTGTTAAAGATTGAGCATATCAAATCCTTCAAAAACCTGGGATCAACTCAAGTGCATCGGAAGGATACGCAGTCCTGCCCCATCTGTGACATCCACCCAGTTTCGTTCCCGAGTTATGAAACGCATAGAAGTCAGTAATGTATTTCCCCTGTTTAAATTCAAAGATGAATAATACACAGTAGTTATAATTAATAGTTGAATATATGAAGTATTTTTTTCGTTTTCTAATTTAGATATTTGGCTCACTTTGCAACAATCTCCTCGGTGACAACAATGACCAAAATTGGGAACAGCTCAGAAAAAAGGTATAGATAACAATCTTCTTTGTTCTTTACTCTTTTTAAGTCTTTTATGATATATACTTCTATATACTGAGAGAACATGATAAGAACGAGCGTAACTAAATTCAAAATATAGTTGATGTGCAAATTTTACATCTGGACACTTGCTAGTAGTCTTTTAGTAGAGAAAGTACAGAGTGTTATCAATAAAAGGAGTATGTGGGGTTAAAAGATAGGTACATCATACTGTCATAGCGTCAATTAAAGCGATACTTCTTGATATACATCAGTTTGATATATCCTAGGCTTTCAAATGTTTGTGTTTTTTAGCATGAAGGTTAACCTAGAAAAGCGCTGCGAATGCACGAAATTGATAAAATGTTATTTTCATTTACTAGCATTTAGTCGATGCCACAGCTGGTAGTGGACGATACCCCGAAGGTATTATCAACTCAGCAGTTCGTGTTTTGGTACTGAAATTCTTTTTACAAACTTAATTTTTATTTTCTGTTGACAAACATGATGAATTAGGAAATTATTATGAATCAAAGTTGACATTTAATGAATATTGGCTATAAGGGTTAGATTCGTTTTGGTCATTTATTTCTTCACGTGTTTAGGTCTTATATAACCGTGGCTTTCATATGTTTTGGTTTAAGCGTTTCTGATAAAGGCAGATTCAGAAATGTGCTTCTGACGCATAAAATTAAGAAAGTCATTAAAGTGCTTCTTTCATTTTGAAGAAGCATATTCATGAGTAATCAATAAATTTATGCTTCAAATCAATATAACCATTTCATTATATCTCTCTTTACATATATACTTGAATACATTTTAATATTATTACGTTTATTTCAAGGATTCAAGTAGCATTACTGGCATAGTTAAAGCTGTAACAGATTATAGCAAGAGTTTTACCAATGTTTTGCATAGTGAAGCTAGCATCATAATACAAAAGGAAAACATATGTAAGTTTGAAATCGCATTTTTTTTCTAATATGTTATTTACTTCCCTGTCTTAAACTGATATTTAACAAAAACTTGTTCATATGTTTCAGTTATACAGTTAGGAAAGGTTCACTCAAAAGACATAGTTGTTCCTGACAGAACGAAGACATCGGAATCATGGGTTTTGAATTCAATCAATGAAATTAGCCTGAGCCTGAAATGTTTCTATGGTATGAACAACTGAAAATTAACAACTGCTATGTGACTTTACAGGGGCCTAGGTGGCCAAGTGGTCTAAGTAATTCATCTACTGTATCACTAGCCTGTCACCACAGAGGTTGCGAGTTCGAATCAAGCACGTGACAGGTGCAATCTTAATTGACTAGAGTTGTCAGTTTTGCTGCCGAAGATCGGTGGTTTTATCCAGGCACTCCGGCTACCTCCACTAATGAAAACAGAACGCAACGAAATAGCCAATAGTGCTGAAAGTGGCCTTTAACACCAATCAATTAATCACATTTTGAATAAAAAATATCATATCTACAATGATACTTTTTATACTTTAGTACACGAACAGTAAGTGTATAATATGTTTAGACAACCTTTAACGAGAAAGCCAATATTTGCCTTTGGTTGAATCACTTGCTCATGTACATATACATGTATATGATCATTAGTTATTTAACTATTGACAAATTTAGTGATTTAGAAAAAAAGTATTATTGACTGCTACCTGTTTTCCGAAAATCATATAGAATACAAGGCCTATAATTTGGAACGCCAGACTCACGTTTTGTATAAATATGACTGATCAGTGGGGCTCGAATCAAAACAGTTGGAATGCTAAGTCAAATACGAATTTGAAGAGCATTAAAAACCGAAAAATCGTACCAAGTACAGCCAAACCAATGCCTGGGGTAGAACACAAAATGATATAAAAACAATATCTTGATTGCAGAACAGCATAAATTCATTCAATGCTTAGAAGTACAGCACAAAAAAGGTTTGGAACTTCTGAATACAAGCATAAATACCGCGAAAAATAGTTAAGACTAAAATATTATTGTATAGGATCCTGTTGGTTTATTGAAGAAAAGATTTAAAGGTTATATGAAATGGATCATTCTTGCATATTGAATACAGGGAAATTGGCTTAACTTGAGAATGTTGAATGTACAATTTATCTCTTTTATTAAATGCACACTAAATAAAATTTTAATGCTTTGGATGTTGTTTAAGTGTCAACTTATTTATTCTTTTTTTTCAGGTTTACCAATCACCGGATACAGCAGTACCTTTTACAGAAATATTTCTAAACTATTTCCGGAGTCGCTTAGCTTAAACAAGTAAATACGTTTTAGAAATGTTAGTTGCCTTCCGGTCAAGATCCAATGACCTTCAATAGCGACAATCTGATATGCGAGCCTTTACATATTTCTCGGTATTTTAATGACGTTGATGATATCGATAGTATACTACATTTACACTAGCAAATATATTTTAGTCTTAAACGATTATTTTGATCTTAATATCATTTGAACAGTCTAAACAATAATCAATTTAGTCATCTTAAGTATCTCAGTCAATTTTCAGACCTATCCACTGTGGTAAACTCAGCATTGTTCAGACCATTCACTGGCAGTCAATTTAGTACTGTTCAGTAGCTTTTCAAAAAATTCAGTATGATGTTAAAGTGAACAGGTAATAAAAATTAATGAACAGTCTGAGCATAGACAGAACATATCTTAATTGACTACAAGCGAATAGTCAACAACCATAACACTCGTTATTTATATATTCGTTGTTAATGTACTTTTGTTTTGTAGTAGCAATATATCCGATGTTAATTCTATCATTGCTGACTTTTCAATTGAACCAACACCAGCTAGAATATACTATCCAGTAGTTATTAAATTTCAATATCTTTCGGTAAGTTAGTAACTGGTACAGGACACTGAAGCAAATTAAAGAAAATCAATCACTAAATTATAAAAGTATCCTCAAATTTACACATCCTAATGCAAAACAATTTCAAGTATACATCAAAAATAAGGAAGGTGTGGTATACTTGCCAATGCGACAACTCTTTATAAGAGACCAAATGATGTTAACAACTATATGTCACCGTACGGCCGTCATCATTGAGCAAATCCCATACCGCATAAAAGGCTATAAAAGGCCTCCAAATGACAAATATAAAACAATTCAAACCAGAAATCTTACGGCCTGATTTATGTACTGAACAATTGTAGTATGCGAATTATTGGCCAAAAACATTAATGTCATAAATACGAGAAGATACAAAATCGGAAATGAAATCAGACAACTCTTTACCCTAGAACTATTCTCGTTTAGAACTGTCCAAACCTGATCTACGTCAGAACGGCCCATAGCTGTACATGTTATATGATAGAACAGCTTATGTAAGCAAATAATGGTTTAAGAGGAACTTGAGTTCATACAATTCCCTCAGTTTAAGTTTGTTACCTTGATTTGTCATGTTTGTCTTTTTCGTCAAATTGGGAGAATTATGCTGCGGTGAACTACTGCTGCGGTGAACTACTGCTGCCTTAATCTAGCACTGTTCTCTTGTCAGTTCATGACACATTTTACAAAAGGTTATAACTGATCCCAACTGTACATTAGCATGTTTTTGTCATATATATTGTATAATCCTAACACGTCACTAAATGTACAAACCATCGTCATACATTGCAAGATATTGGTCGATAACCTCGGATGCCGCATATTTACATACGATGTTTGTTTTATATGTAGTTTGTATTCACAGGAGGACTATTCTAATCCAATATGTGTATTCCTGAATTTCAATATGCCGTAAGTAAATCAAAATAATGGCCATCTTTCTTAGATGGTTAATATCATTAATGTTACATGCAACAGAAATAAGAAAGACCTTAGATATGATTTAGCATATGATTCGTCTATCTATGGTCTTATCTTATATAAAATTTAAAGATTTGTGTGACTCCTTTTGAAGCAAAACAGAAAAAAAACAAGTGGACATTATTCAGGTAAGACCAATGTATAAGTAACGTTCTTCATGTCATTTATTTCTGTCAACTAATACATTTAAGTTTGTAAAGGTGAGACTGAAAATATCGAAGGGATATTAAGGGATGTAAGTAATATATGTAATTAGCGCTATTTTGTGTATTTGTTCTTTGATCTTTTTTTGTGATAATTTTTCATATCATGCCGCTCGCTTGAAATAGAAAATTATCGCTAGGAACTAAGGGCACACGTGTCATTGTCGATGTAAACATAAACGACTTCAAAGGCAAAATAGAGTTAAACAGATTATCAATGGTCTTTCAAACTCGAGGATGTTTCTCGGCAACATTCAATTTGTTATAAACCGAAGAATACAAAAAAAAAAAAAAAAAAAAGAAATTGTAGCTGAGAAACACCCTCTCGTTTGAAAAAAAACAATTGATATTCTCTAAATAATAGACATGAACACTTTTTGTCATTGTAAATGTATGTCACATACTATTCAAATATATCAGACATGATATGTGATATACTCTAGGATACTTATATAAGGGTATAAACGAACATTTCATTTGGTTCTGTCGCCTGTCCGACAATCCACATTTTTTTCTACAATACAATTAAGTTTTTAAGATAAATTCTTCTGAACAAATATTCGGCCTTTAAGTTCATTACCGCCCCTATTATTTTTCATGGATGACAATTTCCCGACCTTATTTCATAAATGTAAAGGAAATTGTTATCCTGTATCCGAAGTTCAGTGTCGGGTATTGCCTTTTCGTTTTTTTCGCCATGCCTTTGTTTCCCTTTCTTTGTTTTATAATGGACGTATGTTCGTTTGAATTCGTCTTTTATATGTTTGTCTTTTAACAATATATTCCTATGGACAGGTGCCACAAATTGAACAGGATCTCTTTTACCTTGGATAACCCTCGATTTTTGCTGTGGTTCGTGTTGCTCAGTACTTTATTTTTCTATGTAGTGTTTTGTTGTTGTTTTTTTTATTCGTTTTCTTTTATTTTGTCTCGGGTTTTGTTCATCAACTTTTAAGTTTTGATTGTTCCTCTGGTACATCCAAGATTTTTTGAACGAAATATCATTGAAATTACATATCGGAATTGTCGACTATGGTTTTGATTTCTAGGTAATTATGGTAGACAATTGACTTCCTTCTTTTATATGTTATATTTACCCCTTACATCTGCAATACCTTGTAAGCAAGAGAAGGAATATCAATGTAACTACCGAACAATCACACCTATACCATACCATTCTTCTTTAAAAACATGTATCTTGTTTCTGCATGAAGAAATATATATTTTACTTAAATCTTTAGATAATTCTTATGCATTATTCTTTAAAGAACCATACAGACTCTTTTACAGAGGTCATCCGAATGGAGCATGGTCTACGGTCGGTTCAAGAGTTGTTGAATCTACAGATACTTATACAATTTGTGAATTTACCCACACAACTAACTTTGCGATTCTAATGAGTCCAGGAAAAACGGTAAGTTGTTTGTATGGCGAAAATACGAGTTTGAACCTTTTTCTGCTTCTTTGTATTTATCGACTAAAATATAGTTCTATTAGCTTATAATTTGGATCATTGAAGAACCGAAGCATTTCCTCCTTCGCGGATGGTACAATCGGGCATTGACACGGGCCAAATGATAAACTATATAACAACATTTTCAGTATGCACAACAAGTTTGTTTAATATAACATTTATCCTTGCCAGAGCACGGGAACGGACATTTATTCATGCCTAAAATGAAGTAACAATGAAAAAATGGAGTTATACATGTAACGTTTATAACAAATTGTTACCGGTTTCTATAATTTTCGGAAGTATATTTAAAAGGCATACTTTGCGTTACAGAAACCAACTATAAATATATTTCAAAAAATGCTAACAAATTTTCATTTGGTGCACACACAACATAAACTATCCGATACATATCTGCAAACCGAAAGAGCGATTTATGAAAGAAAAAAGTTGGTATAGTTATAAGCGCTGATGTATATCATTTTTATGTACATGTATTATTTTCTTTTAGCCACATGCTCACACCTTTACCCTAAGTCTGATATCAACGTTTGGTTGCATTATTTCCGTTCTATTCCTGATCATAACAGTCATTGTCTATTTTGTACTTTGGCGGTAAGTTATTGTCAATTCTAATAGAGATTGGTTTATGTTGGATAACAGTGATCAACAAATTATGATATTTATCTATCAATGTTTTCTCTGCAGATAAATACAGAATAACAGTATTTATAAAACTTATTTACCAATTATTTCAGCTGTCGAATGAATTAAAAGTTATTTGATGATTTCATAAAATATATTATATCGAATCTTTTCTTTTTACATGAAATTAAAACGTTTTCCGCACGATAAATGCATTTGTGTATCAGGTATGTGTTTATTAATTCATATTTTTATAATTTCTGAAAAATGGATATGAGGTTTTAATAAATTATACAAAATTGCTACGCTCCCTTGACCAAACGAAAAGCAAACGACATGAAAGAACAGTTCTTGTAATGTTGCTCCTCATCTGAAACGGAAAGTAAGGCCATATACACAGACCTAATTCTCACACCTCACAGTTCTAGACGGCCCTATGTCCAGTTTGCGCGGAATTAATCAATTATTTTTCAAACGATCAAACATTGGATTATTATAATTTACAAAATGATTACAAATCAAAGATAAACATACCAGGATTGATCAGCTGAATAATTACAGGATGTCCCCAAACGAGGATAGCGCTATATCCTCTTATTTTAAACAAGTACATTAAAGTTAGTTTAATGTATCATATGCAACTGTCTTGAGACTATAAACAAATATAGATATATGCATTTTTTTTTGGCGTTATTTGTATTTTTTATTGACAAAACGTTTTGATATACTTGCAGACATGTGAGAAGCGATCGAGCAAAAATTCTAATTAATTTGTGTTTGGCGTTAATAACATCATACATCCTGTTCTTGGTTGGTATTAACAGAACTGGAAATAAGGTGAGACAGTACATTTAAACAAATAACACCTACAGCCGGAAAAAAAGTATAAACAAAAGTTCATTAATGCAAATATGTATGTCACACGACTTGTCTTCTTATTTTCTACTATTCCCCATGCTCAATTGCAATTGAAAGATCGACTTCACCATCTCATTAAACAGAGCTTTTTCCATAAAAATGGGAATCGTAGATATAAATTTCTTGTTTTGGGTTATAATAATTCTTATTTTGTGAAGAACCACACTGATTCTATCAGAAAAAACACTGAAGATGATATTATCAAAATGCTGGACTTTTTGATCATCAATATATTTGTTGAGTTTGGAGGATTGATATTTCAACCGACAGTCGGTATTCCAATGGGTACTCATTGTGCACCCCTACTGGCCGATTTGTGTTTGTACTCGTATGAAGCAGAATTCATTCAAAACCTTCTAAAAGACAGAAAGAAAAAGCACCTTGCAAAATTCTTTAATTTTACTTTCAGATTTATTGATGATGTCCTATCACCGAATAACCCATATTTCAGTTAGAACTTACATCTCATATATCCCAGTGAACTTAAAATTAAGGAAACTACTGATACTAGAAGAACTGCTGCATACCTTGATATGTTCCTCAATATTGACACAGATGGACGACTTCACACTAAAATCTATGATAAACGGGATGATTTTAACTTCCCAATTATCAATTTCCCATTTCTCACCAGTAACATACCATCTGCCCCATCGTATGGTGTTTACATATCTCAGTTGATACGTTATGCTCGTGCATGTTTACACTATACGGACTTCATATACAGGAGTGTGCTCCTTATGCATAAACTGCTCATAGTTATGAGGAGGAAAGATTAAAAATGACACTCCGTAAATTTTATGGACACCCTCACGAATTGGTTGATCTATACGATGTGTCTGTGTCTAAACTAACTAATGTCTTAGATTGTGGTTTACCATCTACGTCGTCTGGTCTGCTAAGTACCGAACGTGACCTATTCCCGAATGTGACTGTTTTGCCGAGTGTGAATTCGCATTACTATACGACGTGTCTCGGTATTTATACATCCAACATTCATGTATTTAGTTATGATGTTTCTTTTGTAAGTCTGGTTGGATAATGTGTTATGTCTTATCGTTTGTGGTTTGAATTCTAGTTTTATTTTCTATATGTATGTACAAGTTAAGATAATTAATCAGCTATTTCATTTATATGATTTTTAGTTTAAAGCTACCATATGTACAGGATTTTTTGGATTTAGAAGAAAAACCGACATGGTTAGAATCTACAAATAATTACACAATTACAAACATAATTCCATTTTAATATTCTTGTCATGGTTAGAAAATACATAAAATAACACCATTACAAATTCAATCCAAATTTTATATTCTATTTTTAGAAATTTACCTGTGATAAAATAAACATCCCAAAAAATACGTCACTTTTTGTGGCGTTGATACATTCGTGTGATGCACAATTAATAATTCCATTGTGGTGTCCTGGTGTACTGTCGTAAATTCATGGGAGGTGTCCGTTGTTATTCTGTGGTATTCTACTGTTGCCTTTATTAATTCATTGTATTGGTGTCGCTTGTGTTAAAGTCTTAAACACCAAATTGAATGAAATATACAAGGCTCATAATGTATTACGCCAGAAGAACGTTTCGTCGACTACCCGGTCAAATCAAACAATGCAGGCCAAAACGATCATGTTGACTTGAACATGATTCGAAATGTCTTGTTCAAAGATTCAGGATTTTGCATCTGTTTACTTTTGGGTAAATTAAGTAGATTTTTGACATTTTTCCTACAGACACTAAAATTATTTTCAAGGTCTTTTCAAGCTTTTTAGAGTTAATCTTTTAACATAGCTTTAACAACAGATAATGATCAATCTAACAATTCAAAGTGAAAATAAAACAGATAAGGTTTTTTGATTAAATTTAACCTGGAACACCTAATCCAAACATTTGTATCGACAGAGGCTGTTAGAAAGGTATAATATAAGCCATACCGGTGCCGAAGCATTGAATAACCTCGAGATCGCCAACAAGCCGTCGACAGAAGCAGTCTTGACCTTGTTAAAAAATTAAAGTACAAGTTTTGAATTGTGGGCGTCAAAATTTACGAACCGAATGTTATTTGAATGCAGGCAAAGTGTATGAACAGTATTGAATAATTAAACTTAGATATATGGCTTTGATAATTGTATATATATATAATGTTATAATTTATAAGTCCGTGTTATTGAAAATCAGCTGATATCCAAAAGAGTTTTATCCAGTTTCCCTGGTGGTAGTTGAAAATGGTATCACGTGATGGTGCTATCAATTACAGAAATAACAGAAATAACAAAGTATGTCATGCATGTGAAGAATGAGTCTTGAATTTCACTTCAAAATGAAATTCTACGTAGGAAATATGTGTTTTGATATAGTACAGGAAGAACAGCTTTCATTTAAAATGCGAATAAAATAATGCTGCATAGCTTTATATGGTTATTTGAAGTCTTGTATCACATTTAATGTTCTTGGGTTTCACAATAATGTATGCACATACTATATTCAGGTTGTCTGTACTGCCATTGCAGTCGCACTACATTACATGTTCCTTGTAGACTTTGCCTTGATGTTAGGAGAAGGCATTCAAGTGGCTATTATGGTTGTTATTATTTTCCGAAGAGAGTCAATACTTCAATGGATGCTTCCATTATGTTACGGCAAGTGTATTAAATATTATGTAAAACTCCATCACTTATTGAAAATATCCAACGTATTCAAAATTCATTTGACAAAACCATTTTATTCAATCTATAGCAATCATTAATCTTAAATACCATGTTTGAGCTCAATGCAATAGATGTTTTGAAATCGAAAAATGCTTTTCGTCTTAACCAAATACATTAGAATCATACATAAAAAAGACAATTCCAGTGTATAGTTAATAACTAACACACTTCAGAAAATTTATGTATCTGAGCATAAACAAAATTTAAAAAGTTAAAAAAATAATATCTTTTTTAATGATGGAGAAGCTGTCAATTGTACACTGAAATATACGAACAGAATAAGTTCTTAAGGAAATGTATGTATATTATGGTTAGAACCTAATAAGAAATAAAAATTAGTAAATATATTTTTCATAATAATCTTCATATATGCATGATATAGCTGCTATGATGACTTGTTTGTTTGGTTGCCCAATACATTTGCCTCATCTTCTGTTATATATTTCAAGGATGCAACCTTTGATTTTTAAACAATGCATATGCTCCTATATATTTGCAGATTCTACAAAGTGCTATCTAGACAATACTTATCATAAATTATTCAGAGTTAATCAGATCATGAACTGTTTTGCATTGTTCATGTTGTATGTATCTTTATAGTCAAAAAGTGGCAAAGTCCTGTACTTGCGATCACATAACGAATACAATCAAGTTATCATCCTGCAAAACGATATGATTTAGTTATTTTTTATGTTCAGTTGCTCTGACACATTATCTTATACCGATACTCTTTGTTAAAAAAACACAATTTATAATCATATATATCTAGCCAATGCTTGTCATATTTTATAAAACAGAAGCCTTTTTAAACAGTATGTTGACCGTATATATGAAGCTTTTATTTTATTCAGTTTATATGATCTGTGGTGACATTTTACATTTCAGTTATACCAGCTGCAATTGTGAGCATTTCTGCAGGAGTTACAAAGTTACAAGGTTATGGTAACCGTCAGTTGTAAGTACCTAGAGATCATAATTTAATGCGGACATTATATTTTAAGAACTCAAACCACGGTAAAGCGCAGCGTATTTCATGACCTTATTCTTATTAATAAAAAAGGACAAATAATATAATGAGACAAAAATTTACATAAATTTTATAGTTTGATACTAGTAGTTTATCGTAGAATTCACCAAGATCCCCTACCCCCGAAAACAATCGGAAAAAAAGACAAAGCAGGCAAGTGTCTCACATTTCCATTTACATTGTGCTACAGTAAATATTGATTACTATTTCATATCATTTTAGTTGCTGGCTGACCGTCGAATCAAAATTAATATGGGCGTTTGTAGCACCAGCACTCTTTGTAGTCATGGTAAGTTTAAAGCATACGTTGCACAATGTGTAGATGATTGTTGAAACAAAATTACATATTCTTTCAAATGACATATGTTTAAAAATTTTCTAACTGGTTAAAACAACTGTGAAAATTTGATAGAAATCATACAAATCTTATCTGCTTTCATCTATAAATAAATGGTTGAATCTAGCTTGCGATGTATTTGATCCAATCAAGTAATACGTTCTGAGACATGATTTACTTATTATTTTTATGAAACGAAAAACACTACAAAATGCTCCATAAACATGATAAAGAAGTTTAGTGAATAAAAAGAAATAATCAAAATTTTCCTTATAGGCTCATAACATATGTCTTTAAGAATTGTCGTACATAACTGGAATTATTGTCTTTAATCATATCTTAATGATATTGTTTGGAAATTATGGATGTGGTCATTTTGATACTCCCTGTTTATTTATAAACTTTCCTAGAATCGTTACGATTGGTTTATAATACAATATGTATTCAATAAATCTAACATAAGATAATACATTATAAACAATTAGATCAAGAAACGATCAACATTGTTCAAAACGACTTAGAACATGACACTTTGAATTGACATTGTGAAGACCATACGGTGATCTACAAACAACTATTGGTGTTTGTTTTTCTTGCAGTCCGATTCTTTACATTTGATATTAATTAAAAATGACAATTTGAACAATTAATAAACCCCACAATATGACCAGAGAATTCATTTGATACAACATCGACTATAAATCCCTGTATTGTTTTCGTCAACAAACAGTAATAGAATATGGGGTATCCATCCATGAGACAAAATCAGAAAATACAGATAACCTGTTCTGTTACTTAATACTATTTTACACTTCTCAAAATCAAAATTAAGTGTATGCACCTTGTGCTGTTATTTATAAGATGCATTTATATGGGTTTGTTTTTTTATCACTTTTAGTCACCGCCACTTGTCTTTTTTTGTAATATGCATGCTGCTCAGTTTTCTGTGTAATCCTATGATGTTTTAAGTTCGTTTTTACATTTTAACCAATCTCCAACTTCCCAACTGTGAGATTAATCTCCCTTCTGCCATATCGTATGGTATTTACATATCTGAATGATGTTATGGTCATTTATGTCCACACTATATGGACTTTATAAGCAGGAGTGTGTTCTATTTTTTTCTTAAAATGTCCTGTACCAAGTCAGGAAAATGGCCATTGTTATATTATAGTTCGTTTCTGTGTGTGTTACATTTTAATGTTGTGTTTCTGTTGTGTCGTAGTTCTCCTCTTATATTTGATGTGTTTCCCTCAGTTTTAGTTTGTAACCCGGATTTGTTTTTTTTCTCAATCGATTTATGAATTTCGAACAACGGTATACTACTGTTGCCTTTATTCCTTACACAAACACTGTTCCAACATATTTATGACGAAAATCGACTGAAATCGACACAACATTATCTCTACGGTCACCATCGGTAATTGGTTGACCGATACGATATGTCTGTGTTTCAAATCACCAGCAACGTGTTTTCGTAGCAGTCTTAGATCTTTAGATACCAGGATAGCCGTTAAACTGTAATTGATGAAAACATATAAAATAGAACTTATTACATTTCAAAGAGCGGAATAGGTCGAATTCCTACCAGGACTGTCAATTTCTTTTTTCAATACCTATTGTTTTTTTTGCAACACATCACTGTTTTTTTTTATTATACAGATGAACATGGTTATCCTGGTAATAATGATATATAAACTGCTGACAATTAGAGGACTTTCAGCAAAAACACTCCAACAAAAAGCAAAGTAAGTACATATAAGAATTTTCTTTAAAAAATGTCTATACAATTTGTTATCTTTCATATAAATAGAAATCAGTGAATTGTTTTGGTGAAACATGTAGGATACATGTAGTAGATAAAAGTTGACGATTTGATCTCGCATCAATTTTTCTATTTTCAAATATCTCCAGTTTGTATTTATGGTACACAAAATTGATATCGGAACTATGTACGACATCACTTATTTTAAGATGTACATATTTGTCATTAAATTAAACAAGATATTTGAAAAATCACAACAGAACAAAAATACAATTATGTAATATCTAATATTATTTCAATGAATTTTGCAATGATTTAGAAGCTAAACCTTCATCAAATATCGTCGAAACAAAGAGTTTTTTTCAAGCTGAAAAAAAAACAAACCATATTTGACCTGGAATTAGATAAAATCGTTTTATGTCTTAGGGGGTTGCAACCCTTGTTAAATTAGAAGATGTGGTATGATTGCATTTCTAAACAGTTTTGAAAAAACAACGATATTTGATTTCCGATAAGCAGTTTACAAATGATGCATATGAATTATGCTATATATGTATATGACCTTTCGTCCACCTCTAATACCATAGAATAGACACTGTAATGAACTGAGACATTTAATAAACTTGTCAAAAGAAGTTGTTACAAAATTATACAGTTGACCAAAATTATGTTATGTTATCATGGTTATCATACCTTTTATCTATATCCTTATCTCTTTTAATTCATAGGGCAGGAATCAAAAGTATTTGTGTAATTTTCCCACTGTTCGGAATAACATGGGTACTTGGTGCCTTTTCAGTAAACGAAGACCTGGTTGTATTTCAATACCTTTTCGCAGTATTCAACTCGCTTCAGGTATAAATAAGCAATGATACAATTAATTATGCATCATTTCTAAATGAATGCTGAATTACATTTATGTTCTCATTTTTATGATAAGACATATGAGAAAGGTAGATGATACATTTCAAACTTTATGTGTTTGATCCATTCAATACGGATTATCCGTAGTGTCTCATTTAACACAAACGCTTGACAATGGTTTTAATGAATTTGACATGTGCTTCGTGAAAGCTGACTGTTTACCTGAAACAAGCGGGTCTCCTAAACAAAGCATCAAAACTTATGTTTTTAAAAGGATAAGAATATCATATCAAACATATGAATATAAATCATTCAACAATGAACATACAAGGTCATAGTATTGTGTCATGTACTACATTTATACGCAAAACGGGTATCACTTCCTCATTTCTGCACATAAACATTATGTAAAGCTTACTTTAGTAATACTTGTAGGACACCTTTTAATAATTGGGATCTATTTAAAAAAAGGAACAGTTGATTAAATAAGCTAATTACATTTCTTTAAGACTAAAAATTCAAAAGCGAATACACACAGCGTGTCATATTTTTACTTTACATTCCAAATTATCTAAACTACTGAACTGGTCAGAGGTGAATTGAGTTAAACATGTTATTCTTATTGAAACATAGATTTACGAACGTATGCTTGATACAAATGTATGTAAAAAAAATGGCTTTCTTCCTTTCAACCTCGTCTTCCATCTTGTGCAGTTTGAAAACAAATCGTGACAGTTACAACTCCTTTTTCGTTTCAGGGATTTTTCATATGTTTGTTTCACTGCTTTTTGAACCAACAGGTAAGCACATTCAACATTTGTATCAAAAATTAAATGATATTGAATATATAGCAAATTAAAGGCTGTATTTACGTTCATCTATTCTAAAACCTATTTTCTTATCCAAATATTTGTTCGTTAGATTATATTTTATTATGAATGCTTTTTTAAATTGCTCTTTTTATCAACTATTTTGATTGATAAAAACAAAGATATGACATTTTTATTTTTCGGAAATTCTTCAATCCCAAAGCAGAACATTACACCAGATATCCAAATTTTAAAGCAAAATTCATTCATAGGTGATCGCTTCGATTGTATCTCGCAGATTCGCTTTGAGTACGGGAGCTGCTTGGGTATTCGATCCCCTGCCAGTTCAACCCAACCCCCTCAAATATGGAAGTTGCAACTTTTTTCCTAAACAGGTTAAGTTTCTTAAAAGTTAAAGATGGACCACGGGGATATGTCTAAAATTATGATTGGACGACTTGGCATGATTTAAGTTTTATTCAATCGTTTCAGATCAGCATGACCTTTTCATTTCAAAATGCATTTTCTAGTGGCTTCATGTAGTATGATCAAAATATCAATAAATGCACGCAGTAGGTTGCAAGTAGGATAAATTCAATCAAATGCGAGCTTACGAGAATGAATGACAAGTCAATTGAAAGTTCAGATCAGACGTACAGTCGGATAGGAACAGACATTACCGACCAATAGATTTATAAAATAATATGATTTTCTATCTTATCTTCCGTTGTAAACGTGATTAACTCTGCAACAAAATGGTAAAATAAATATGTTTTCTTGATATGCGGATGTCTGTAATTGAGCGTTGCGAAGTTGAATGTTCTGCTGTAATTAAATCAAAAGTTCACATGTGCAAGTTTACATGACATTTTAGGTTAAACAGGGATATGAACATTTTCAAAGACGGAGAAGGGCTATTCGTTTGATGGAATCGAAATCATTAAGTAGTTCAGTAAGTGAATTTCTAATTTTTCATAACATAATTCCAGTTACAGATTACATGGAAATATAGACAAATCGTTTAATTGAAAAAGGTTTGCTTGATACATTTTCCAAAGAACATAATACGGATTCTTTATGTATTTCAAAACCAAAATGTAAGGCGCATGCTTTCTCAAAGAATATCAACTTAAGAAATGCTTGATATTAAAGCAAAGTATACAATTTTAAAACAGTGTAATACATCATGAGTCTTGACCATTGACTCTTGTGGAAAAAAAATAACCATACATAATAACATTATTTCCTTTAACATATTAAGTAAAACTTGATTTAAAAACAATGCTTGGATTTGGGTCGTAAGGATTAATTAAAGCCAACAAACCGAAATTGCAAAACATTAAATCGATCGTTTTGTACTTGTCTACATTGTATAGGTCCTTTTTTTGTTGCATTCATGTAATGAGGTTGCGGAATTCATTAAATACGACATCTTTTGGCATACTGATTCTGTAAATAGACTTGAATTAAAAAATCAACATATAATTAATATTTTGTTATATTGAAGACAAAGGACAAATATAATAATATTAATCGAATATGTATCGCTTCACTTCCAGGATTATCAAACAAGGAAGACCCGTGTTAGCACCGATCAAACCAGTGAAAATCGAGGTCGGTCAAATGAAGAAGAAATATTAAAAGGACGAAATTACGCTTATACCTTTAAAACTGATTCCAAATTCTATAACCCCACTTTTTCGCAATAATTTGATTAATATGCAAAGCAGAAATGAAATACTAGAGAATATGTATGTAATTTTAACCTCTGTGAAGAGGAATCACGAAAAATCAGATTTTTTTTGACAGACATACATATACCCATACACACATAACAAAATGTGACGCCAATTTAATCAAACTATTTTTTTCGATAAAATTATTTATGTTGTACATTAAATCCCATCATTCCATACCATACAGACACAGTGTACAAATACCTTGCTACAATTCAGTAAAAAGTCGACTAGTTCCCTGCTCATTTTTCTTTTTGGTAAAATAAGGAACGATTACTTTCTACATTTGAGATTGGGTCTAAACTTTCTTCAACCTGTCAAGAAATGTCAGGAGAACTGGTCTAGAGCAGTCTGTAGATCAGTTCTCCTGACCAATTTAGAGTAGTTATTGACAGAGGCAGTTTAATCGTAGAACAGTTTTGGACTCTTCCTACCTAGAACGGATTCGAACAGTTGTATCCTTAAACAGAGTCCTGCAGTTGTACCCTAGAACAGTGTCGGACATTTCTACCCAAGAACAAATCATGATACTTACATCTCTAGAACAGTTTCAGACAGCTCTATTTATCAATATAGTTATTTATTTAATAGTTTACTTTAATGTTAGTTATTTAATTAATCTTAGTATTTGTTTGACGTTTTTCCTATTTTATTTTTTCATTTATTAAAATGTTTTTGATTTATTGATGTATTGCATTATTTTCTGCTTTCATTTATTATATAGAATAAATAGAATCCGTCATTGACTATAGAAGTGAAATTATATATAACTGTTCAAAATAAAATAGTTCAGTTAACAAACACAAATAAAAAAAATAATGAACAACAGAAAAACAACAGAATCTGTAACATGCTTGTGGAATAACCTTCGTCTTACTTTGAATGAGAGAGTTGCAATTATTCGTGAAGTTGTAGTGTACAATTTCATAATAAACTGACTGAAAAGTAACAGTCAAATGTACGACCCAATCACTTTTCATACCATGGCACAGTTGAACATAATTAGGCTTGAGTGTTCCTGATGAGGTTGACATTGAAAAGCACTTCGAACGCACGAAATTATTAATAAAAAGTGTTATTTCTATTATGAAATTTTATTTTTAGAAATGAAATGAATTTGACCTTTGCCGTTTATTTTTTCATCTATCACTACAAACCAGTAAAGGTCTGAAATGGCCTATATCTGTACTCGACTGTACTGATTTTTACACGACCAGTCTGAATTGGTCTGAATTTTACTCGACATTACTCGACCCCAGTCTTAACTATACTCGACCGTACTGATTTGTACTTGACCCTTATCTTTGTCATTGAAAATAGTCTGAACTATTACTCGACCAGTCTGAAACAGTCTTAACCCATTCTCGACCTGTACTAGACCAATTTTTTCAGTCTAAACCATACTCGACCAAAGGTCTGAACAATACTCGACCAGTCTGAACCATACTTGACCAAAAACCCTATACTTTTTTTTAATTTTAGCTGTTAAAATTAATTTCTTTTTTGCTGACATGACAACAGCCACAATAAAATAAAGATATATATAAAAACATATGTTTACATCCTTACATGATTCTCAGATTTATCAACTAGAGATAGTTAAATTAAATTATCTTATATAATAATTTAATTATATTAATTTTAAAGTTTTAGAGTTTTGTTAAAAGAAAGATTTTCTTTTAACTAAAATCCACACCTTTACTGAGGGTAATAAAACCTTATTAAGGTGCTTCTTGTTTGGCATGTGTTTTTTTTTAAAACTTAATTTTCCTAAATTCCTAAAGAAAAACTACAAAGGTTTCATGGTTACATACAATAGGTATATAATTATCTTTTTAATGATGTAACAACAGCCAAAAAATCACTGATATTGTTTAACCTTATATTAGAAATATATCTATTTTTATTATAATTTGGGATATATTATATATAATATATATCAAAAAGGAATAAAAAAATTAAAGAAATAGATAAAATTTTTCTTCTGATTAGTGGTAAAGTATAAAGTAATACCTCCTGCTTAGGGCAAACTCATTAAAAAGATCACACCTGGTCAGAGAGTATTAATTTCTAATTAACAGTCATTAAAAATTGCAACATCCTGTAAAACTTAAATCGCAAGGCCTTTTGAATTCACTAGATAAGTAATACACGAGTTGAAGAAAAAAGGCTTTCTTTTTACCTGTAAAACACACATGTACTGAGGTAAATAAACCTTATTAAAGTGCTTCTTGTATGCCATGTCTTTAATTTTGACAAAATTTATTTTTTTAAATTTAATTGAAATAAATTTTTTCTGCAACTTTGGAACACATTTCCTTTTTTAAATGGTTATCAAGGATTGCTATGGAAGTTCTATTATGATTATATTAAATTCTTGGTTTTACAAAACAAAGGTGTGATTTATAAAATTTATTAAGTTGCTTTATATACTATTTTAAATATATTTTAATAAAAAAAAATGTTCACTGCATTATTAACTAAACTCAACTGATTCCATAAATCTATACTAGGCTTAAGTAAATGGTGAAAATTGTCAAGTAACCATAAACTATATCTGAAACATTAAAAAAATTTGAATAACATTGAAAATATTAGTCACAATTCAGTTTTAAGATTATTTGATCAGCTTGTTTTATTTTAATTTTAAAGGTGATATATATATATGTAAGTGTTGATAAATATGGTGTTGAATTTATATTATGTTTATTGTGAAATTTTGGTTTCAATACCATATTGAATACATTTTAAATTTAAAATTGTTGTTCAAATTTCTAGACAGGGGAAATAGCTGTTAAAACAGTTCTTAAATTGATGAAATACAATAGACAGATACAAAAATTAGGTCTGGGTTGGTAAAGACTTAGTCGAGTATGGTTCAGACTAGGTCCAGTATGGTTCAGACTAGGTCGAGCACGGTTCAGACGAAAATAAAATGGTTAAGTACTGGTCGAGTAAAGGTCGAGTACAAGTTCAGACTGTTAAGTATGATTCAGACTACAGTCGAGTATTATCAAGTAAATTTCAGACCAATTCAGACTGGTCGAGTAAACATCAGTACAGTCGAGTACAAATATAGGCCATTTCAGACTTTTACTGGTTTGTAGTGTATAGTCTTCGATAAATAACAAATGCATACACACAATCTCATCATATTTTCATGTTCTTAATGACATCTTTGATTTATGTATTTTACCTTTTTATATTGTGCTGCTACATGTACATGTAGATCCTGAAAGACCAGATATGGAGCTGTGTTACTGTAAAGTTTAGTAAACATTACAAAACTCGTTGAATTTGGTCCTTGTGTGAAATAAATTCAGAGGCAGATTGGTCCTAAATCTTTGTATAAAACATGTAAACATTAGTATTATTATCAAAAAACAGCAAGATTTTGAGCTAAATAACTTTTTATCTTTATTTTATTTCAATATCTTATTTGAACTTTTTTAACTTTTGAATTGCACAAGGTTCGAACAATTTCATATAAAGACAAAATTTGACTCTGTTGTTGAAAAAAAATACATGGCAAGTGGAAAAACATCATTTTATACTCTTATACCCTTATTTATACAATTTGATAAATATCTTGCCAGATTATATTAAAATCATTTACCTTTTAGTCTGTTTACAAAAGTGAACTTTTACCTATTCGGATTTTTGTGAAGATCCTTGTTCCATTTCCAATTTTACAGGACGACGAGAAGCTAAACATTGGTCCTGTTTATATAACACACACTTTTGTTTTTGTTGATTTTTCGGTGGTTCACATGACAGATCTTTCAGAAGGACGTACCACCATAATATATCCTCTTTCTGTGAACCAAACAGTTTGAAATTTTTTATGAGTTGCTAATAGTATGAGACGAGGAAGAGATTCAAACACAGAGATAAATTGTTTTAGATGGTTTCATGTCTTGTGTAGTTGCATTAAATATTTTCTTTGAAGTATCCGAAGACTTACTAACAATCAATTCGAATTCTATACGAATATGTTATGAATTAACCTAAGACTGTACCAAAATCAAACAAGTATGTAAATGCATGACAGGATTTGTAAATGAAGTTGAAGTTACAAGATACATGTGTATTTTGTAACATCAATCAGTGTAATTGAAAATTGAAAGTCGATCATAACTGTCTTTGCGGCTTTAGGTCATTCATAGTAGAGAGTTGCGGATTGTAAATTCTAGCGTATAATATTTCAACCAACAAAGTGATGTTGGATTTTTAAATTTTCTTTTTTATTTTAAACTTGATTAAGTGTTTTTAACCGGTTGCATAGAATACACTTTATTATCCACAAATTTGGGTGTATCTTATAGTATTTTTTATTATTCAATGTTTGGTGTTAAAAAAGTATTAAATAATTAAACACCAAAGGTTAAAAGTCTTTGACAATAAGTATGTTGATGTGTTTTTATCTATTGCTCTGGAAAATTGATAATTGGGAAGTTAAAGTCATCCCGTTTATCATAGAATTTAGTGTAATGTTTATAAATGTTTTAAACGCTCAGTTATTACAGTAAGAATTAATGAATCATCAGACAATTTTGAACCCTATAAGCATGTTGATGTGTTTTATCTCTTGCATTGTGTTTGTTTTTACTCTTTAAACGCTCAGTTTTATAGTTGATATTACGAGTCTTCAGAGAATTTTGGACCCTATGTATTTCAATGTAAAAATTAGCATGCTGAACATATATTTTATTCGTTGTATGTTTGTGTTTAAAACCGTTTTTCTATTAAAGCTCATCATAGGGTTTAAGTTGAGAGGCCAATTTCAACCCTTAAGGATAAAATAGAAATGTAAAATCTTACAAATATTTATTTGAAGCCGATCGGAAGTGAAATACAATCACATCAACAAAATAATGTCAAAATATATACTATATTTCGTTGATCCGTTTATTTGACAATCGCCAATGGCAGCCAGCAGGGTTTAAGAACATCCGTTGTTCGACCTGCTAGTCAAATGCGTTTTGTTAAAATAAACTTTTTCAGTTTTTTGGTCTTTTGGAAAGTGTTGTTTGTGCTGTATTTAGACCCCTCTACCAAGAGATTTGTTTTGCATGCACACGTATAAAAATTGCGGTTTTTATCCAACGCAATCATAGGTTTGAACGTTGTTTTCAATTTAAACTTGTTCATACTATACTCTTATATATAGTTCAAATATATAGCATCGCTATCTTTTTATTTCAAAATATGTTTTCAAATTTAAATACAGGTCAATGCACAATGCAGTGTTTTTACTCTAGAATCCAATTTTCATTTGGTTATCATTATCAAGTCCTTAACATGTTTGACCGAGAAAATAAAGACCTATCGAAGAAGAAAACAAGACAACACCATGTGCATGGTTTGTTAAGAAAATAACGCATAGTTTTTCTTATAACAAGTACTAATATTTTGTCAATGAATACTTGGTAAAGTTTTCTCTTCTATTCAAAGGTATTGAATTCACATGAAAATCAATGACCGATACTGTTCTCACATTACCACTCTCTCAGTTACATTTGTAATTAAAAAGAAGTTTAAAGAGATCAGATCAGATAAAGAAATTTGAACACATTGAATGAACGTTTATTTCATAACAAGTTATTAGTACATTGACTGTCGTGTTTGTATTCAACAACACAGAAAATACTTCGTTCGGAACAAAATGAACCACTATTTGTATACCTTAAATAAATGAACGTAGTGAAAAAATGAGGTTTTAAATGAACATACAGGTATTTCAAAAATTAATTTATATGCATTTCTAGATTGAGTTATCAACACGCAATCGTTATCAAACAAATAAAGAGAATTATATCAAACACACGTCTACACCATCTTTTGTATGACAAATGACTATGTTTGTTAAAATAAAACAACCTGCGTTATCATATTATTGCTTCAAAAAATGCAGCATTCAAAATATGTAGGATGTTAAGCAACCAATAAGCAATCAATCAAAAATGTAAACATCTTTTTCAACGATAATTTTTTTGTAATGCAAAAGGAACTGAACAAAATCGTTGAGAAGCGTATGAAACACACCTTCTTACCACAATATGATATGGTAACAATTTACCTATGTTTAAGGCAAACATGGCGGGCGTTAACTCTTACAGGATTTTCCGACGCACTAATACATTCTCTTAAGGATGTTCGCTACTCTGTTTTAAAATAACATGATTTTTTAAAGACTATTCTGAAATGATAGTATATTAATAAAGGAACCAAAAAAGCAGAAAAAAATGAAGGGTCCGTGTGCTTGTTTTCGAGATAAAAGCCATTGAAAATTTGGCGGAAAATGATTCTCTCTAGATTTTTCATACTTTTAACATTGGCCGCTTTTTTGTTTCAAAAACTATGAAAAAATAACAAGGATTTTATAAGATTTTCAGATATGACTTTTTAAACTATATGTAATAAAATTATGAAAAGAGAAGTAGGGGTTAGTGGGCAAAATTTGTTAATGGCAATACATGGATAAAACCAGAAGATTCCGAAAATCTGGCAGAAATTCAAAAACAAGAGGAGCAAACATCCTTAAATGGTATCATCAGCTGAAAAGAACGTTCGTTGTTCAGAATAAACACATTCGTACCTTCAATTCATACTTTTACTAAATTTATAATTTTATAAAATATGTTATTCCAGTCACATTGCATTAATTTGAGAGATCTTTTGACTAATATAGGGGTAATATAGAGCTCACTTATTATTCATACTCCTTGAAAGGAGAAAGTATGGTGAGGCTTTCATCGCCCTGGAAATCGAAATTTAAAAATATAAAAAATCTATTAAATAACATTCAGCACATGCTCACAAGACCCTAGTCTGTCAGATATCAATAGTTATTTAATATTTTCTTTATTTTGTCTTACATAATGTGATTTTGACCTTCCAAATCCTTGAATGTAATAAAACGAAAATGTCAAATTAGTCTCGCACTGAGATCTTAATATTGATATGTGTATATATTCAACAGTCAACCCCACAAAAACATATTTAAGTACATAAGTTCAGATATAATAGAGTTGTTGGGAATAAAATATCTGACTGCACATTAAATAACTGTATATAGTTTACACGATATGCACAGTGATTAAAATTTAAAAGGACTATTAATGTATAAATACATAGTTGTAGGACAATACATTAGAATGTGTGAATTGTTGTGTCCTGCCTTTAAAAATACATGCAAAGTATAACCGTGTTAATCAAGGACTCAATTACTTTGATAAAACATTTAAAAAATATTACAATAACTGACGCTTAATATAATACAAACGGAAAATACTAGGCTAACTAGACTGATAATTCATTTAAACGAATAACATGAATACAAGCTATTCGGTAAACGATCAAAGGTGTTGAAATAAGGACATGGAGCTTTTGTGGTGGGTTTCATATTTGTTTCTTATAAAAAACATGGAATCATATCATTTTAGAGGTGGCGTTATAACATGGAAATACATATACAGCGAAAATAAGGTAATCAAATGTCTTTATTCAAATACATATACCTTAGGTTTACTTTTGTTGATTTTTACGATTTCCTGAGTCAATTTTTATATTAGACCACTTTTCCGTAGCTGGAAGTTTAGTCCTTAATTCAAAATGATGATTACGCTGAATGTGTGTTAAACAATCTATGGCAAATAAAAATGTTTATCAGAATGACTCTTTGTGAATGATACATGAATAATTCAAATTCGTACGTTATGTGGCCTTTTCATTTGTTTTATTCGAGCGTCACCGATGATTCGTTTGTAGACGAAACGCGGGTCTGACGAACAAAATTATGAGCCTTATATCTTTAATGAATTCTTTTAAAACCGCTGGGTCGATGTCACTTTTGCATTATGCTGGTAGAGGTTTCCTCTCCAATGGTATCAACAGCTTAGTAATCAGCATTTCTGTGTTGACATTAATAATCATTGATATGGTCATATTTATCAATTGACGGATTACAAAACTTTGATTTGTTAGAATTAATAAGGATTATCTAACCAATGAAAATATCATCCTTAGCTGCACTTGGCAAAAATGTATGGAATTTTGAATCCTCAATGCTCTTCAATTCGTACTTTCTAAACTTTTTTAATCAAGCGTCACTGATGAGTCTTTTGTAGACGAAAGGCGAGTCTGGCAAACAATATCATAAGCCTGGTATATTGATGATTTTGTTTGTACTAGACGGATGTTTAACGAGCTAGTTCTAAAGATAACAGTCCGCTGGAAAATGTGTCGCCTTACCAGGAATCATTATTATGACCCTGAGCCAACCAGACTTTTCTCTTACTTCAAAATGCCGTGATTTTAACGTAGAAGCAGTAAATATCAATAGTATTTGATTTGATCGTATTGACCAAGAATCGAACATACGTCCTTCCGTACTACAGGCGACCATGCTGTAATGGCATTTACGAGCCTATTTACTGAATACATTTGCATTTCACAATATACAAGTATATGATGCCAAACAAACTATAAGAAAAAAAATATAATAACCTCAATACAAATGTTTGTTTTTCATTATATTATGATTTTCAATCTTGATGGCTTGTCCGTTTCCGTAGCCTACTTTTGTTTTAGTTCACATCGGGATACGGTCCATTTGAATTTGCCTAGTAACTTACTTTCAAGCGTTAATCTTTGCTGCACATCAATCTATTTCTTTAAATTATTTTCCCTGAACATCTCTGATCTAGATGCAAACATATACTGATAATTAGCATGTACCAGAGAGGTATACAGCTAGTTGAGAAGATATTGAAGTTAATACTCCAGGAATATAATTGCATAGCAACAATTTAAAACAAGCCTACTGTACTCGTCGTTTTGCTATTAAAGGAGGGAAATGGTAACATTGTATGGAAATTTTGTTTTTACTTCAATTCATTTGTATTGTTAATATTTACTAGAACGTTTACTTGTGAGTTTATTACTGAAAGCGTCCTTACTAAAACGGAAATAAATATTGAAAAGATCGAGTTTTAAGAGTTAACAGGGGACGTTATATTTTGTCATTAGTTTTTCCACTGATAGGCTCTTCCTTAGTGTTAATAAGCTTGAGATAACAAAAGTTATGTTCTTTAAATATAGTGTATTTACAGAAGTATTGATTTAAATAAACCATCTAGTATATTATCTCCACCTTCAAAATCTCTTAACCTCATTATTGTAGGTATATATAAAACCACATAGTATTTTGAATGCCTGTAATAAAAACAACAGAGAAAGCCCTTTCTAATTATACGATATTTACATAAGACGTCAGTATAGATCATAAAGATTCTCCTTAAATATCAGACTATGAAAAATTTTCCCTATGGCCATGTTAATATATCATTACAGGGGACCTATAAACTATCTTAAGAAAGGATCAAAATATTGTCCACAATTGAAAATAAATTTTAAGAGTTTTGCTAGGTACTATGATGCTTGTTCCACAAATAGCAAACATTGGTGTAAACAGGCGAAGACCGATAAAAAAAAAAAAAAAAAAAAAAAAACTTGTTTAAATTAGATTTTTCTACACCTTGGAATAGATTGCCTTAGTCGTATTTTGCTTAACCTATTGGAATTTTCTTTTTTAAATGCTTATCCACATCGTACTTGATTTCCTCTTCCAACTTTTTTTATTCGAGTGACACTAATGAGCCTTATGTAGCCGAAACGCGGGTCTGACGTACAACATTATAAGCCTGGTATTATTTATGGTTGATCAATTGGTGTTTGCTTGATGAGTTTTGATTTTATTTCAAATACAGGTATGGATATTGCAGATATTCGCTTATCACATTTTTCCGAAAACAATTTTGACATTAAAAAAAGGGTTAACACATTCGTCCAATTCTAAGAATAGAAATACAAATTCTCGGAAAAAAATGTTGTATACTCGTACTACATTTGTATCAGCCGACAAAGCAACAAACTATTTTTTATCTATGCAAATTATGCGACTGAGTGAGCATCGCAATAACAAGAAATAGCATTCTCATATCTGAAAGAAATATCTGTATGCAGATTTTCCTGAAATCGCTATAATTAATCTCGCATATGTGTTCATTCTTCAAAATTCTGAAGTCGAGGCGACACTTTTTACGAGAGGCTTTTTAGAATGAAATTATAAATTCTTACACAATTAAGGCCACAGGATCCATGGAGAGTCAAATAGAAGACAATAATATCATAACCACATCTAAACTGCAGATATAAGTGGCGCATTTGAAGGTTCCCAGTTTGTCATGATTACATAAACAATAGAGAAACATCATCAATTATGATTTCATACAAGCTGCAAGATACGAGGTTGCAATCCGAAAAGCATGCTATTGTAAACCAAAATTGCAACAATTGGAAATGAAATTATATTACAAGTTAAGAAATTTAAATCTAACTTCATATCAACAATGTAAAACGGAGGTATATGAGATGTCTTACATTTTTTAAAAGTGGTACGACCATTAACATTCTATTTTAATTATGGAATCGTATATGTTGTCCTATGCCAACGTAGAAGAAACTTAAAACGCAAATTGGTAAACTTACAAATTCCAAATTTAGCTGCAGAGAGGATCAGTAATTGAACATATTTAGACCATGCAGAGCGAAAAGGCACGTGGTATAATTGTATTCAAATATCACGAATACATAACTGTTTTGTGACATCTTGAAATAAAAGCAGTGTGAATATATGATTAATATTCTGTCAAGCAGCATGTAATTTAATCTGCAGAGCTTGTAAAAATCATTAATCGACACTATACACTTTATAGTAATAACGAGTTGCAAAATTAAAAAAAAAAAGCAAAACAAAAAGTGCTCATATGCGCCACCTTCTACCTACTAGTATGCATTTTACGAGCCTGTAATCCAGTGGTTGTTTTTGTTGCTGTCTATCATAACAGTTTTTCGTTAATTATGATATATAATCTCTTTTCACATTCTTGAAACCCGGTTCTTTTGATAGCTTATTAAATGGAAGGGTTTTTATTCATTTTTTATCTGGTTAAAAATTGCCTGGTTTTAAAAAGAGACACATATAATAGTACCCGTGATTGGCAACTAACCTTACTGATTTCATAAAGCAGTCATTGTCACGTCTGTAAAAGCATTTGCATCATTTCATTAACATAAATAATTACATAATTGTTCTGTTTTAACATAGAACGACAATTAATGTTTCTGTTTCAAACTATATTTTGTGGTCAAAACATTTCGTTAATGAACTCAGTTTGGAACTTTCAAATCGACAAAAAAGTATACCCGAAATGTTCAGAAACAACACTTTTTATCTCGTTTCATAGGTGGCCGTAACATACAAAGTTTCATACCGTCCTATTTATAGCTACCATGAATGCACTGAAAAACAATTGTTGAACGGAAATCTGATTGAAGGAGAAGGACACCTGACATGTTACTCTGGTTGCAACAGTACATTTCAGATGTCGTACTTTTGTACTGATTATAGTATCGATGAGGATTACACAATTGGAGAAAGAACAGTCTACATCCCGTCTAACGAAACTTATGACAACATACTGTTTTTTGGGTAAGTAACGTTATATAAACGATTTATTAACTTCCCATCTAATGACAGATTTTACTTTAAACTATTATTTGGATAATTTACGCTGAATAACCACATGTTCTCAGCTGTTGACAATTAATTAACTCATCACTGGATAGATACATCAAACATCCTTGGAAATTAATCTTAATCTGTGTTTCCAATCAAATTGGTGAACCCTAAAGATACATAAGTCATTTATTTTATAAAATAAATTCAAAGTTTGTAATGCACGATGTCGAATGAACATTTACCCCAAATCACTTTCACAGCTTTCTATGACTCTTGCCAGGCTTATAACTTTAGATTTATTGTGCATAATCCAATTAAATCTTCAAGTTGAGCAAACACCAATCAATCAATCAACAGAATTATATTAATGACACCCAGGTGAAAAGAGCATTAATAGGATTATTTTGTCGGATATTTTGAGAGAGAATCAATTTGAATATGTATCCACATGATCTGTAATGTTTTTTTTTCAATCATATATTTATTTGATTATCTATAGCATGTATATGTTGCCTGGAGGTATAATATACTGAAATTTACCCTCCTATCAGATATTTATAACGCTTGGTAATAGATTGTAATACCGTAAATATGTTTTCATTGATTAAACGTCTAGTTGAAAATATTTCATGCACATTTAAAACGAAAACAAATTTAAATAAATATTGTAATTATTACAGCCCAGGTAGGCTCTACCGGGATGAAGGGTGGATAATTTGGACTTCCAAATGGACAATGCTGATAGAGAGGGCGTTACACTTTCCCTTTACAAGACATGATATTTATCTTCTCTATTTACTTTCTGACCAGACGTGGCTGCATATTTTTCAAATGCAACGCTCCTTGCATGAGTGTTGGTCAAATCAAATGAAGATCAAATACCCTTTCCTGTACACCGGAATCCCCTAATTAGAAATTGTTTGAAAGTACATCTTTTGCCTCAAAATCCTCCCTGTAACCTGTTTTTGTTTGACTGACATCCCCATCCCAACGGCAAAGGGGTTTCTGGATCCGCCCTCCATTCACGAGGATTGGTAATCACTATTTGGAGAATGACCTGATTTTACCATACATGTATTTTGTCTCTTGTACCACAACGTTGATTAGCGAGATATTTGCAAAACATCCAAAATTTGGGATAATGATATATTGTACGCTAATTTTGTTTACTCATTAGACTATCATATTGTATAGTCAGAAAGCGCCGTGGGGCATTTCTCTATGAAAAAGCAATATTGATATCAAAGTTCCATTAAGTATATATTTTTTTCATGTAATAACAAAGCCCAATACAATCATTATACAAAAATCAAATTACACTAATGCACACAATTTATAAATACCTAAAAAAAAGCATCCTACTGAATGACTGTGTTGATTTATAAATAATACATGACAAACAGATTAGGACGGATACTCATTCAGATGTTTTGAGAACAATATCTTATATATTAGTACCGTTAACATATATATTTGTAAGAGAAAAAAACATAATTCACTGATACCAATACTATGAATTCAGAAATTGTTGCGAGATTTTTATCAAATTAAATGCGAATAATGCGACTTGGTGGGTATCGCAATAATAGCAATAATAAGAACTCGTATTCTGATATCGGATACATATATCTGTATGAACATTTCCCGAAATCGCAATATTAAATCTCGCATTTTTGTCCATTTTACAAAAATAGCAATAATATATGAATCCAATAATTTATGAATTTACAGTAAACTGGTAATAAAAGGAATAAAAAGAATCTTTTGGTACTCTAGGTATTTTTTGCTTTATTTTGGTCTTTTATGGAGGGTTTAGAACTCTGCACGAAAGAACACCTGAAATCAGGGCTAATATCTTTGACGTCTTTACTCTAAATCAGTATTAGTGTCTAATTGTAAGTTTTGAAATAAAGTTTCGAACTATCTTTCAGTAAATGGACTTGTCTCTCTTTACTTGGCGTCTTTTGTTGTCTTATTAGGTTTTTTTTGTACTGATATAATAAATCAAACCCTTTTCAACTGATTTTTACAGCTGTTCTAATGTTGTTCTGTAAATATACGGTATCATGTCAAAAGTAGGATTTAGCGCTCGCAAAATCCACCATATTACTTATGTGCCTATTACAAGTAACGAGCATCTAGGGCTTGTCGTTGGTTGCAATCTGCTATAATTTCTTTTCGTTTATTGTTTTTATCATAAATCTAGCCGTTTGTTGTTTTTTTCTTTAAATTTGTTCTCATTTTGTCATTCAGTGACATTTTATACATGCAGCTTATTATACTAATTGGTTTTGCTCATAGTTGACGTGTAGCTGTTTAAATCATGGTCCTGGGTATTTTGTGGATAGTCCTTTCATTGGCATTCTCACCACATCTAATTCTTCTTATTTCTATAAAGATAACATTTTCAAATTTTTTTTTAGTCTGTTACAGTAGTGTTTTTCATACTAACGTTTTGAATAAATTTTCAAAATTTGCCAAAATTATCACAATTGAAATTTGGTCAAATTATCTACTTGCCTTCATTAATCAATCAAAATATGACAACATATTGTTTCAACCTTCGGTATAGACATAATAAGCTTTGTTACTAAAACTTCATAGTTTTGGAAAAGGGTCCAAATAACAAAATTGAACATACCTCAAAATGTCACTTCTTACAATGTATAAAAATTGGTATGCTTTCGCTTATTAAAAATTATATTTTCAAACGGTTTGATTTGAATTTTGTTTGCCTATATGTGTTCAACTGACCTTATCAATATCGCCTATAAATTCAACATGATTGATTAAGGTATTGCCGCTTCAGAATACATGGGCTACATTGCGGTGTACAAAAAGAATGTTTCATGTTTTTTTTTTATGTAGGTATGAAGAATGTTGTTGGATAAACCTGGTCGAAAGCGGTAATTCAAAGGCTATATTCATGCTCACAGAAGCAGATTTAACTATTCGCTCGGATACAGGGAGGATAAACACGTCACCAATATCTGCAATGCAGCCTGTTGTTAGAGTAAAACAAGGGTGTTCATACTCAATTCATATTCAAGGTATATTGATAAGAGGAAATAAACCACTGTTCTACATGTATACGAGCTTGGAAAATATTTTCCGGTTTACAGAATTCTATAAACAAATGAATCGAAGTCACCAAAAAGTGTCTAAAAAGGTAGAACTAAAAAACTTTCTTATAATTATATCAATTATAAAGGAATGTCTGTGTTTATACAATTTTTGCTCTTAATTTTAACAACTGCCAAACCTGTAAATTAAAGCTTTAATAGAGATTGGTATGTCTATGCTTTCAAGAGCAGTGTGTTTATCCAGTATTTATTTGTTATTTCTATTATTTTTTTATGTTTCGTATAAATCAAGAAAAACCACTATTTACACAACACTTAATATTGATCAACGACGAAAAAGCTTAAATATATATACAGATACTTACTAGACGAAAAAAAGGTAGCAATATAAAGAGGTTCTCGATGTTAAAAAGAGATGAAGTGTCCAATACCAATGGAACATGTTAAATTCATATATCGAATAAAACGACCCCCGCCATCATTTTGGGTGATTTCAAGTGCACTGGGATAAGCAGAGCATGCTTCACTCGTGACGTAAGCTAATAATATAAACGAAAATCACTCAATTTTACTGAGTCAAATTTTCCAAAAACAATTTTTTCCTGACTTTTTTGTTGATAAGCTATACATTTGTAAAATCCTGTCTATGTGATGCGGCAACTACAAAATGTAATCTATACATAATCAATCTGTAAATTCATTAGGCAAATCTAAATAAGGGTATATCGTTGATACGTATAATTGTCAAGGGGTTAGGAGGTACAAAGGGCAGAAGGCAAAAAAAAGCAAAACACTAATAATATTGACAAAGACAAGATAGAAATGATTAATAACAGTTATTATGCACCACAGCATGTAGTAGAAAATATGTACATGTATAAGATTGAAAAATAAATTTGCGCGGCAATTCCGACGTAGCAACAGGTTATAATAAATATTCCTTCAAATTGCATCACTTTTCTGCAATGCTCCATGTCCTTTTCATCCATAAAAGAACAAAAATCAAATGTACGTCCCCTGAAATCATTTCCAATCTGATAATCATTCGACCATATAGACAAGAAAACATACAACCTGAGAAAATATGAATTGAATAACAAATCATCTTTTTTCAATACAGTTGATGACGAGGATGGAGACATGGTTAAATGCAGATGGGCGAACGATGATATAGTAAATGAATGTGGAGGGGTGTGCAGCGGCTTAAACGGTGCTTTTCTCAATGCAGTATGTTACTATTAAGTTATAAGTTATTAATTATTAGTTAAACCATTGCCGTGACTTCAGCCTATTTATTGAACGTGGTTTCTTTTTTCTAGAATCAACGCTTTCTAAATCGGTGGCTGAAATCGACACACCAAATTATATCCAATTGTTTCGTTTGTGAGCTTAACTTCATTTAATTTGAATTTGCTAATTTACTGTTTTCTGTTCACAAAGCTATTATATAGAGAATTGATTTGAGTCCTCACACACTGCCTTACGTAAAGAATGTTAAAGATTCAAGACTTAACGCAAACTAGTTGTCTGAAAACTTAGCCCATCGGTTCGAGAGTACCGATAGGAACATGAAAGGGTTAATATAATTGGGTGGTTATTTAAACTCACTAATAATAGGACCTAATTAATGCAAGAACTGTAATTTTGAAGACATTTCGACAAAAGATTAAATAATAGACACAATGGATATGCGTTAGATCGTTAAAAGAAATCATTCATAGTTTCTTTTAAACGAACCAACGCTAATCCATCGTATCTACATAACAGAATTTCGGTTGACCTTTATTAAAAGTCTTATCAATCTTAAAATCAAATTTGCCTTATACTTTATGACATGAAAATAAAAATAACTCTTAAAGAATTTGGTTCGAACTAATATGTATTAAAATAAAAATAATTTGGTGTCCGACTTTGGACTGTTTAACCACCAGGACCGGATTATCCCGAGACACTTAGAAACTAATAGAAAGTTGAGATATAACATTGGAACGAATTAGAAAGAGCAAAAGGACAATTACTAATCTACTTACTAGTCTATCACGAGTATTATCTGAAAAAACCAAACAAAAATTCAAACCAGTAAGTTAGTTTGATAAGAACCTACAATTATAATGATTCCTCAAAGTATTAATTGAAACAAACAACCATAATTATGTTTTAGGAAACTTGTATCCTCTCATATAATGCAACTGGTAGCACAGGTTGGTATGCCGTTGCTCTTCAAATTGAAGATTTCGCCTTTCAAATAGGAACATATCCTCTCAGTAGCGTATCGTTGCAGTTCCTTATTTTTGTTTATTCATCTACTGAAATGTGTGACAACAAACCATCAATAGATACATCTACAGACCAGGATGGCGCAGTTATTTTCATTTTACCGAATACAACATATTACAAGACAATTATAGCAAGCACAACTTCCAACCATTCCAAGTGAGTTAGATAAATTATTTTAAAAACTAAAAAGACATAACTATATGTACATTTAACATTGATAAACTGTGTTCAATATACGAAGAGGAGGTGAACAATACTAAAAATCCGTTTGCTGTCTTTGTTTTGATTATGACCAATGGATAAAGCAGAATTATATGCATGATTGATTATGAAAATACACCTACATTATTTAAATTATGCAATCAGTCAAAATGAATTTATGAAGATGTGGGATTTTCGTCAATGATACAGCATCCCGTCGACAAAACAGCAATAGACTAAGTTTAAACTGTTCGGTGTGAACCAAGGCTCCGTGTTGAAGACCGTACTTTGACCTATAATGGTTTACTTTTATAAATTTTGACTTGGATGGAGAGTTGTCTCATTGGTACTCATACCACATCTTCTTATATCTAATAACCACTTCAGATTTAACATCCTGTAAAGCAGGGTACCTAACAAAATTGGTTAAGTATTAAGTGTTTCTTAAATAACCTGGTTAGATGGAAGATTGGGAGCCCGCAGACATGTTTAACCCCGCCGCATAATACATGTGCCGTTCCCAAATCAAAGAACTGCAATTCAGTGGTTGTCGTCTGTTGCTGTATATTATATTATATTATATTATATTGCATATTGAAATCATATTTCAAACATAACGTACCAAAGTTAGCGTACAATTATATATAATATTGCTTAAGTGCCAATTAAACTTTAAATTAGTGACACAAATATGTTTTACATACTAGTAGTTATAACAAGCTTTGCTATAGAATACAAGTACCATTGCATGATTTTGGTGAATATTATCACTCTTAGAATACCTATTGCACTCACACACTCAGTATAAACAATATACTCTGAACAATTTTCATCAATATTGATGTAACAACCATATATATACTTCCTATATTGGAGTGTATCTTTATGAATTTAGTACAGGTGTTCATGCACAATATCATCGAACTGATCCATCAAGCCAAAGGAAAATTGTCACTTCCAAAGCTGAATTTATTGTATTTTCTGTCTCCCTAGGATTTCAGCAATAAACACGGTGTCACCAATTGGAATGATAAAATCATCGTTATTAAAGTATGGTTCTTACGAAGACAAATGGTATGTTAATGTAACTTGGACCCCCAAGGAAATAGACATCGGCAGTCACATTTTCTGTTATACGGCTTTTGATACTACCAGGTACCTTTCTTAACTTGAGGCTCCTAAATAGGCTGCATCATTCATCTGATATTTCTGTGTTGTAAATATGACAGAAGACATATTAGTTCTTTAGCTGTCTTAGTGCGAAATTGATTTGTAGAAATCCTGATGCAACATTTCAAAATCTATGATTAAACAATAATAATTTGACATGTAACCAAAACAAATAAACAAATTAAAACTTACGCAAAAGGTTGTACATTTTATGCATTTATATTATATTTTGATAATTAGTAATTGATTAGTAACATCTTCCCTGATATTTGTTAACACAATACAGCTGAAAAAAAAATATATATATATATATATAAGTAACAGAATTATTTGGAACGTTAGAACGTTTAATTATATATAACGCATTTTCTATTTGCAAAATTGCAATGAAAAGGGAAACAAAATAAATGCGTATACTGCTTGTGTAACTATCAAGCGTCAAGCTCAAGACTAGTACAGATGAAGCTAATATTAGAAAAAAAAAGAGATAGAAGATACAAAGGTGCGATAAAAACACAAGACAAAGAAAAACAGACAAAACTCTTTGGATATTGTTTTTGTTGGTATTTATATTGATTTTGTTATAAGTAAATTAAAATCAAACTAAATATTATTTTCATATACATATACACATTCATGGCTCTACAATCTGTCGATACCTGTACCTCGGCATTGCACAAAATCATGTTTTTCTCTGACTGTTAATGACGTCTTTACACTAAATCCATTGGATGTTGGATGTTTTCTGACATTTTAGTTTTACATGCGTGATTTTTTTTTATTAGTTGTCATTGGCTTTGAAAGATACCAAGACCTTGTTTATAAATATTCCGTTTCATCTTCACAAATAATACATGATGGTCTTGAAGTATAGATTGTAGGTACTGACTTTGTTTATCATTTTAATTACTTGTTAAAGTTTTCCCTTTTTTGGTCTTGTTTATTTTTTTACCTTTACTGTTTATCCATTTTTGATTATATACTGATGACGTGGATCGGTACTTATACATCCAACCATTGTGCTATGGTCAATTTTGAGTTCTCAGTACTCTAAGATCTGCAGTTAGTATTTTTTTGTTGTTGTGGGGATGTATAAATACCCTGTCACGTCCGGTCGGTTCTTTTTTATATGTCTTTTTTGCTTTGTATCGATCTGATGAGTAAAGCCCTTTTCAACTGGTTTTTATATAAATTTATTCTTATGTTGTACTGTTACACCATTGTTCCAGTTTGGGGAGGGTTGACGCCTTCAAACTAGTTTAACCCCACCTCATTTTTAAGTGCATGTCACAAGTCAGGAGCCTGCAATTCAGTGGTTGTCGTGTGTTGCTGTATATCATATTTGTTTTTCGTTCATTATTGTGTACAAAAATCAGGCCGTAAGTATTCTCGTTTGAATTGTTTAACATTTGACAATTCGGGGCCTTTTATAGCTGAATATACAGTATGGGTTTTGCTCATTGTTGAAGGCCGTATGTCATTCGGTCTCTTGTGGAGAGTTGTCTCATTGTCAATCATACATCTTCTTATTTATATAATACAAATGCAAACAAAAGAAACACGAAAAAAGGACAAACACCAGTCCTAAAACACTACACAGGAAACAATAGACTTAACAACATGTACCTGACCAAAAATCTGGGATGATCTCGGTTGCTCCTAAATTGTAAGCAGATCTTACCCCACTAGTGACTATAATAAGTTCATGCATGAAAAGGAAAATCGATGAATTGGCAAGCTTCCGGATGTAATAGGCAAATACATGTTCACGTAGGAAAGATAATTTTGGCATCCACGAAATATTGTATCTGTTAATATCTGTTCAATGTTGAAGATTGTATATGTCTCTGGATGTCTTTTGTTTTTGTGTCGTCGGGTTGTTGTTTCGTGACGTAAACATCTCATCTGCTTGTAATTATAGTGTCTGTCGTATAATAAATCTGTTTTTTTTTTCTAGACAGGCATCTGACCAGATATGTGTAACATTAAAAGTAAATAGTAAGTGTTTAATAATTATAATATAAATTAGAAAATATGCCTCTGTAGGTGTTGAAAATTACTTGAAAGCGATATATATTGCAGGTCAAATACTTTTCTTCATTATGCAAATACTGTAATCAAAGAGGGAGGTACAAGGATTTATAAACCGAAGAACCTTACATGTACCGAGACTGTAAGCGGCGGAGAAATTCATACTTTAGGGTTGACAATTGAAATGTTACGAAGAAAATTTTAAAATAAGTGAAAATAATCAAAGCTTAATAAACTGATAAAAACTTCATTAACAACTAAGTTATATGTGTAGAGGTGTCGTTAGTCTTGCAACGACTCGACAAGAATAAATTGAATAGATCGGGCTGTGAAACGTATTTGAATACATAAACTACCAAAAAATTATAACTGACATTTACACATATTTATTGGTTTTTTTTGTAGACCAATCAAACTTCTGCCACATGGTTGTGGATTCTTTTAATACTAAATGGAACCTAGCTAGAATTGACACTAATGTGTCTGCTCTATGTAGTGGTGACTATACTGGCACTGTTTCAAGATACTGTAACACAAAAGGACGATGGGAAGAAGCGGATTACAGTAAATGTACACATATAGCTATCAAAAACCTACAAGAACAGGTCAGTTGTATGACATTTATAAAATATATATGTCTCAGTTGACGAAGGATATGCTCCAATTGTCGAAACCCTACTCCCGTCCTTTATACCTCGATGATGACATCACCAAATGAGACTTAGCAACAAATATGTAGTTATCATGATTAACATGACGGACACAACTTGTGGAGGAAGATTTACTATACTTCCGGAACACATGAGATCATACCCTGCTTTTGGTGTTTTTCGTGTTCATCATCATCATCATCATCATCATTGTCGTCGTCGTCATCGTCAGTGTCATCATCATCATCGTCGTCGTCGTTGTCGTCGTCAGTGTCATCATCATCATCATCATCATCATCATCATCATCATCATTATCATCATCATGTACTAAGATGAGTAATTATAATCTTACATATCTTTTAAATAAAAAAAATACTGTCTGATTGACTTTCCAAATTTTAACCTGCCATGAATCAATAAGATTTCTTTTTTGTGGACTGTTTTTACAAATGATTTAGATTATTACCAAGCTGTTTGTGAGAGCAACGACCACATTGCAGTTGACTGTTTGTTCAGCAGATAAATACTATGCATTTGTGTTTGTTTCTAGAATTGTGTACGCTATACTAACATTATACATCTATTCTACTAAAATAACGAAGTCCAATTTGTTAGCTGGTATGACGTAAAAACGACGAATCAAAGAATTATTTATAATTAATATAGAACAATGGTGTTGTTAAAAAATTACACCATTCCAGGCCCTTTTGTTTTCCACATAATTAATATTACCAATAATTAACAATTTCTGGGTCGAATCCGATACCATTACCAATAGTATATGTCACATGTAGTTTCCGGTTGTGATTACCTGTTACCTTTTGTAAATACCTACTGTATCAGTAGATCTGGAATTCTCCCAGTAGTTGTTTTTTTATGTATGTTACACTATGTTACACTATTAAATAAGTCTGTTTTCTTCCACCTCAATACCACTATTAATTTTGGTTAATTAGTTAACAAATTTTAAGTGGTATTTAGGTGGAAGAAAACAGACGGGTTCAAACAAAAAGATTTTGAAAGCAGAGAAAACTGTGCATATGGACGTGATATAACTTTATCACTGGTTTCAATTTAACGTAAGTTGATGAACCATTTTGAACACCTGTGTTATGTCAGCACTATGTAGAAAGGTATTTAAGAGTTTTATTTTGTTATACTTAGATTATTCTGAATTATTGTTGAATGTATTGTCAATGAGATAGAGTCAAAACTATGCAAATAAAGAGTATAATACATATTTTTTATGAATAAGTTAACAGTGTAGATGGAATTAGATACGTGTAAAATAGCCAGCATGTTTATAAAGAATACAATATTTAAAACAAATTTCCCTTATCAAGTGTCTCACTTCGTTAAATTTCAATAAAACTGTTAATGAAAAATCTGTTTTTTAAGTCAAGTAATTTAGTTAAAGAAAACAGTACAGCTACAGTAGTCAACACAATTCTCGAAGATTTGAACGTTCTCACGAGGAAGAGTAATAACGTAACAAGTGGAGATTTAGTAACATCTTCCAATATACTGACTGATATTGCAGGATATGTTGCAGGAAACACCGATGCACTGTCTAGCAGTCAAATAGAGGTTTGTCAGTTTACTCTTTCAAGATGAAACGTTTGGAAATTAGATAGCTTATTATTAAAAATATATCTTTAACAAACGGCTTATTTTTCTTTAATTAAAAGGCATATGCATTTAACCGATCAGACTTTTCAGAAGCAGCAAATAAAAATCTTTAATATTTTTGGGCCCGATGACGGTAAATCTAGGGAATCACTATGGATGCACCAAGCTTATAAAACGTTTTTGTTTTGTTTTATTTACTACTTTAGATATTTGGATCTCTTTGCAACAATCTCCTTGATGACAGTAATGGTAGAAATTGGGAACAGTTAAAACAAAAGGTATGCTAAATATGTTTTTTTTTGTTTACTGTCAGCCTTTTATACATACACGTTATATTAAAAAATCTTTTAAATACAGATCTAAGGGTATGAGGAAAAGTTTGGAAAAAGGATTAAGCAAAATAAAAGTGATTGTGCAATTTTTATTTACGACAATTGCTGAGGGTCTCTCAGTAATGAACATATACAGTAGATATGACTAAAAGGAAGGTGTGGGGTATATGTCTATGATACAACACACTAAATTAAAATTATCAACACAAAGACATGTCATAAAATTGTAGTGTCAAAGTGTCAACAAAAGGATACTTCGTCATATATATCACATATTTTATTTAAGAGGCATATACACTTGTAATAAATTATTTTATGTATACATGTAATCATTACTCCTGTTTCATACACATTTCCTTTCATATACTTGAAGTTATGTTGTTACCTTTTTTGTTTCAAGGATTCAAGTAGCATTACTGGTTTAGTAAAAGCTGTTGCAGATTATAGCAAGAGTTTTACCAATGTCTTGAACAGCGAATTCAGCTTGACAATACAAAAGGAAAACATAAGTAAGTTTTCGAGGGACATTTTGTATGTTACTAAAATTGCATTTCTTCTTTTTTTCAAATACGATATCATTTTATTATATCTCTGCAATTGTAATATTTTTCAAAATACGTGACATATGTTTCAGTTATACAGTTAGGAAAGGTTAAGTCAACAGACATAGTTGTTCCTGACAGAACGAAGACACTGGAATCGTGGGTTTTAGATTCGATAAATGAAATTAGCATGAGCCGGAAGTATTTCGATGGTATGTTCAATGTAAATTTGATAACTGTAAATTGGTTTGTTGAGGCCAATCATGTAAAGCAGGGTTTATTTTGCTTTCTTCTTCTCCATTTTTATGATCTATCTTTATTAAGAAATTTAATCGAGTAAAAACTTTTGACTACGGTTAAATCAGGTGCTTATCAAAAAAAGACAATGTGGTATGATTGCCAATGAGACAGCTCTCCACGAGAGACCAAATGGCATAGAAGTTAACAGTTATAGGTCACCATACGGTCTTCAACAATGAACACAACCAATATCGCAAAGTCAGATTTAACAGGCCCCGAAATGATAAATGTAAAACAATTCAAATTCAAAAACCTGATTTATGTTCAAAACAATGAGCGAAAAACAAATATAACTAGATTTGCCATTGCAAGCAATAGCAGATGTCACCCTTCCCCCCATTGCCACTAAGTGGCACCTATTTCAAAAATTTTAAACAGAGAATGCAAACATACGCATTGCAATACATCTTTCTGTAAATTTTCAGAAAATTTGAAGCATTTTCAAAAATTTCACATTTTTACCTTTTTTGCATTGTTTCCAAAGTAACGGCAGCCATTTTGGAATTCCAACGCCAAACGCCACGTCTACAAATGTTGCTCATCATTACTGTGAGGTTTCAAAAAGTTTGAAGCATTTTGAAATTTTTGAAATTATTGCTGCAGTTTCCATGGCAACATAGTAGTACCAATCATTGTCAAAATCATCCAAAACCTGTATATAGTGGACAACTACATTGTATCAAAATTGAATGATTTTAAATTTAAGCATACCCAAATAATTCACCAAACCCTTAAATTCAATTTGTTCACCTTATTTCGGTTTCCATGGTGATGGCAACCATTTTTTAGTTCCAAAGTTGCACTGCAACCCGAAAGTCAGGGTTCCTCGTTCTAGTGAACAACCATTAAGATTGGTTCCTTTGGCTCTGAGAAAACTCCCGGACAAAATTAGGTGGAAGAATAATAATAAACATAATAATAAAAAAAAAGAAACGGAGGAAAAGCAATATGTCACCCGACATTGTCGATCGGGTGACATAATAAACAGCAACAAACGACAGCCACTGAAATACTGGCTCCAGACTTAGAACAGGCACATACAGAATGTGGCGTGGTTAAACATGTTTGGGAGCGCAGATCGGACGTGGCTGTAGTGTGTTTATTCTTCCCCACAAAATAAAAAGACACTAATTACAGTGCTTATTTACATATACTCATGAGACTAATGATTGATCCATTGAATTATTTAGTAGAAAAGCACGATTAACTTCTAAATGTTTGCCGACCCCTCCCCAGCCAAACAAAAACTGCGTTATTTTGAATACCATACCCTTCATTTCCATATTCAAAAGTATGGTCAAATGGATTAAGTGCGTTGGAGTGCAAGCAAAAAGCTGTGATACCGTGAAAAATAGGGAAGAATCAAATGTTTTATGCAAAGAATCCTGGTAGTGAATTGAAGTAAAAGTTAGAAGTTTATATGAAACATGTTCATGCTTCTAAAATGAATACAGGGAAATTGGTCACAACTTAAACATGTTAGATGTACAATTGTATTCATTTTTTTTTTATTATATGCATACCACAGTACATTTTAATAAAGTGAGTATTGTATAAGAATTAAATGATTTATTTGTTTTTCAGGTTTGCCAATCACTGGATATAGCAGTGCCTTTTACAGAAATATTTCAAAATTACTACCAGAGTCACTTAAATCAAACACGTAAATAAATTTAAAAAATGTTGAGCAGCCTTACATGAAGGTGACATGATGATCAGTTACGACAATCGTTATAGTCAAGCCTTTACATAATTCATGCCATTTCACTAACGTTATGGGTATTATTAATTACACATAGTCTAGTGGTCAGAAAACGCCTTTTCTACTTGATTTTGTTACCAAAGAATTGTTGATGTCGTTTCGTAATACCGTCTTTTACTATTTGAATATGAAAGACAAAAAAAGTGTAATTATTTGAATTAAAAATTTAATACTTTTACTTCAATCGGCAATGAGCAATTTACGATATAAAACTTCAAGGAATATTAAATATATATTGTTGATGAGTGAAATATATAGGCATTATGGTATAGAGTTATGTTTTTTTATGGTATTTGTTTTCAAATTATAAAAATAGTTGTGGGTGTAATTTATAAAACAGAAACCAAAATAACAAATTATGACACTTGAAATGAATAAGGGAAACAGTAGTTCAACGATGTTTAAATCTTAAACATCAATTAAGAAGATTCAAATCAAGATAACAGAAAAACTGAGGAAATCACAGGAACTCCTTAAAGAACGATACCGGGTGCGTCGACCGGATATGTGTCTCGTACTATGCATTCACCAACCTCCATGCTAAACCACATTCAATCGAGAAGATAGATAAAATTACATATCAGTCGAATATCATGCTGGTATCTTGAAGTAACATCGAAATGGTAACTTTATTTCGAATAATGGAAGACAGACATTTTCTTGTAAATCTTAAACTTGTAATGCCTTGTACATTTGTATATATTGCAAACGACATTAAGTTGCTCTATTTGCAAGGGTGTTGTTTGTTATGGATATTTTACCTTTTTTTTTGTTTAAATTGACAGTAACGGCATATGGACGTTATCACTGCATATCTTAATTTACAATGACGGCTGATTTTCTATTTTTCTCTATTCAATGTAACTGTATATTGTTTTGTAGTAGCTATACGTACGACGTCAATTCTATCATTGCCGACTTCTCCATTGAGCCAACGCCAACTGAGATGAATTATCATGTAGTAATTAAATTCCAACATATTTCGGTAAGTAAGTTATTGAAACTAGACTCAAAACATATAAAACAAGAAACCAAAACCAAACTAACAGTCATAAGGTCCAACATTAGGACTATTAGAATTAGCGAACTTACATACTTAAAGTTTATAGCAATAGGGGTTTCAAGAAAGCAGTATTTAATTTTCCTCAAGGTTGATAATATCATGTACCATATCATCACCAACATTGATGTAATAGTTCACAAAAGGCATATTTGATACAAAAGAACAAAATACCAAAGGATGAAACTATATCATAAGGTAAAAAAACAAAACAAAAAAACACCACCAAAACAAAACAAAAATTGAGTGACAACCAAAAATTCACACAACCTTGCACAATTTTCTTTTTCTTAGAAAGTAAATCGGAAGGTAGCAAGACCATATAAATTAGCATTCAGTGTCAACATCGAAATTAATACATGATGGCCTTGAGTTGCATATTCTAGAAACCGACGTTGCGTACCCTTATATATAATTGTTACTTTTGTACTTTCTAGTGAGAATGAGTGTATGTCAACAATATTTAACTATACTTTATTATATTTGACCATCAATAACACAAACTTCTTTGTTGGCGTCTTTGTTAGATATACATGTATATGCAGTCCTTTGCGATTGTTATTGTTTGTTTGTCTTTATCATTAATTCAATTTTAATTGAGTATATCTGCATGATCTATGGATGGTTGCACTTTTTGATGAAGATCCAAATAATTGTCACGTTAACCAATTAAGTCTATTTGAGTTGTTCACAAAACGTGTTCATCAATATAACGGAGCTATCAGTAACTGTCATACAAGTAGGAATTTTAAATATATCTCAAACTAGGTTTAAACCATCATTTTCTTCAGAAAATGCCTGTAACACGTCAGGGATATGACAGTTGTTTCCGAGTCGTTCTGTTTCTTCTTTAGTCGTGCGTTTGGTTTTGTCAATTTTCATGGACTCTCCCTTTTAGAATTAACCTTGAGTTCGGGATTTTTATACTCGCATTATATATCTCAGACAACACAATAACCAAACGAAACAAAACAAAACAAAACAGAAAAAAAACAATGTCAACAAAATAGTTCTCAGAAAACTACAGTTTGAGCAAAATGAACAATATATTAATCACCATAAACACAAGAAAAAAAGGACATTAAACAAATAGCCAAAACCATACAGATCAACTCTACCTGAAGGAAAGAGTATTCTTCAAATGTCTTAATTAATTAATTGAAAATGTTTATAAATATATACATAGATATAAAAAGATGTGGTATGAGTGCCAATGAGACAACTCTCCATCCAAGTCACAGATTGTAAAAGTAAATTATTATAGGTCAAAATACGGCCTTCAACATGAAGCCTTGACTCACACAGAACAGCAAGCTATAAAGGGCACCAAAAAGGACTAGTGTTAAACCATTCAAACAGGAAAACCAACGGTCTAATCTATATAAAAAAACGAGAAACGAGAAACACTCATGAACCACATCAACAAACGACAACCACTGAACATCAGCTTCCTGACTTAGGACAGGTGCAAACAAATACAGCGGGTTTAAACGTTTTAATAGACGCCAACCTTCACCCTACCTGAAACAATAGTGTTACATCACAACATAGAAAGACACACTCTAAAATATCAATTGAAATGGCTTAACTCAATCAAAATACATATCAACAAAAACAAATGAACATACACTGAACGAATAAATTTGATCTATGACACAATGTAAATACAAAATTAATAAAACAAGGGGGTTAGATGTAAAACAATATCAAAAAGACAACCATAACCTTGGACAAAATGCCGCCAAATAAAATAAATTTGTTGTAAGGTATACATGGAGTACGGAAATATTTTTTACAAAATAAATAATTTTGTTGTTCATAGTACGAGAACAGAAGTGAAAATGTATGTTATGAATCATGTCAATTGCAGAACATTGATTACATGGCTGATGATACCTTTGGGGACAAATTCAAAAATCTAGGATATTTTTTGACATAAGAAAAACAAGATTATATAACGCAGAGACAATCGATCTCTTAATAACTTATGTTGCAGGATAAGGGTAGATCATCTCAAATGAAGGACACAGAGTAGAAAAACAATGTATTTATTATATATGTTATGTTGTTTGCTTTGACAGGAGGACTATTCTAATCCATTCTGTGGATTTCTGGATTTTAATATGCCGTAAGTAAATATACAGATCCCTGCCAGATTTCTGTGATGGCTTATATGATTTATTTATGGAATACAAAAAATAGACATAATATAACCTCGCTCATTTTCGTCCCATATGGAATTTACTGACCCTGTATATATCGTATGAGGTCCCTAGAACACTGTGTAACTCACATTATATAACACCATTCTTCTATTACTCAAAGCATGTTTCTTCACATTTCTGCACGTATGAACATATTGTTAACTTGATTATCCAAATTATATTTTACAAATGTATAATAATTGATTCTTTTTAAGAAATTTACAAACTGTATTACAGAGGTTCTCCAAATGGAGCATGGTCTACGGTAGGTTCCAGAATTGTTGAATCTACACATACCTATACAATTTGTGAATATAACCACACAACTAATTTTGCGATTCTAATGAGTCCTGGAAAGACAGTAAGCTATTTACATTACATGTACATACTAGTATCTTATTTGTATATCTTATTCAAATGCACACGTCAATTGTTTCTTGCAATCGTCATAAGGTAATGTCGAAATCAAAATTTTAACATGTTTGAGAATGAAAATATATAATACTTCTAAAATTGAATTAAACCTGAATATCCAAATTCAGTTCAGTTCAATTTTGCAATGGGGATTTGAAACGCTAGTTTTATTAATATAACCTAATTTAGTCCTATTCTCTACCATTACATTTGACTGAGTCTGATTCTCATGGCGGGTAATGCCTGAATAGCATGAAATGTCACCGTATCGAAGCAAGTGTTTGCGCTTCTTTTGAAGTTCTTGCGATTCCCATAGAGTTTTTGTATTGGTTTGTACATTCGATAAACAATCTTTATGCTACTGCTACCTTTTATATTTGAAGAGTCTTCATTATTCGGATGAACATTGAGTAACAGTAGTGTATATTTTGTACCTTGGTAGTACCGAAACGTTTTCTCCTTGTCGATGGTACCTGCGAGATCTATCACGACGAACCAAGTAAAAAATACATAAAAGCAATTGCAATTCGCACGACATGTTTGTTTGCTATAACCATTAGCCAGTACGCCTATAAAAAATTTGGAAACCAAATATATGAAACAAAATGCATACAAAGGGACATTAAACAGAACGTCAAAATTCGACTAAGACTTATTTTGGAAGAGGTATTCTAGAACTTTATTTTTATAACCTAATACCTAGTATTTGAAATGAGTAATTTGTAAATAAAATGTATTATTTGAATATTAGATTGTAGTTTTGCATAAAGGAGCGGTTCCAAGCCAGGACATCAAGGATTTTTTTTTATACTGATATAAATATATATATTTATAAAGGAATCAAAGATGAAGAAATCCTCAGAATTTAAAAGTTAAGATTGAATCATTCATATATCGTTCAGAATAATTGTTACACTTTATGATTATCGTTATGTTATACAAATACAAAATTGGTAGCAGAAAATAACTATTAATCAAGAACGCTAAGTAAGTTTCATTTGATGCATACACAAAACAATTACTTTACAAATGTGTAAAAACAATGAAATGAGATTTATGAAAGAAAAATCACGCTATTTTATATTGAAACGTATACAATTGTTAGCATATATGTAAGTGCTTATGAACATCCTAAATATGTATTGTTTTCTTTAAGCCACGTTCTCACAGCTTCCCCCTAAGTGTGATATCAGCAGTTGGTTGCAGCATTTCAATTCTTTGTCTGACCATAACAATAATTATTCATTATATCTTTTGGAGGTAAGTATTTGCAATTCATATTTTGATTTATGTTTAATCAACAAATTTTCTCTCGGCAACTAAAATACAGTAGTATTTCTCTAGGTACCAGCTATTTCAGTTATCTTACATGTTATGCAAACAAGAAGCAAATGGATAGCGCCTGAGCTCCTTGTATCGCTCTTCTTCTTCTATAATAAAATACGAGGCCTTGAACACTGAACTAAATCTAACACCTCACAGTTAAAGACAAATCTAGCTCCTGTTTGGGAAACTTTAATTTATTTATGTTCAAATTAATGCAAATTTCACGAATAACGATTAGAAACTGAATTATCTTCAATAACACAATTATCAGAGCAAAGATGAAAATAGCGGGCATGGTAATTTTATCCTTAGCAACGTTCCCAAACGATGATAGCTTTATTTGATACCAGTAGTTTAAATTCTATAAATGGGAAATATGCTACACTTAGCATTTTAGCGGTATTTTTAACATTGCCATATAAGCGGGAGGTTTGGCTAGACATAAAACCAGCTGGTTCAACCCACCATTTTTTCTTAAAATGTCCTATACCAAGTCAGGAATATGGCAGTTGTTATCTACAGTTTGTTTCTATGTATGTTCGCTTTTGTTGTAGTTCAGTGTGTCTGTTGTTCCGTTGTTTTCCTCTTATAGTTGATGTGTTTCCCTCGGTTTTAGTTTGTTACCCGGATTTGTTTTTGCTTAATCGAATTATGACTATTGAATAGCGGTATACTACTGTTGCCTTTATTGAAACAATAGATATATATAATGGATGTATACATTAATGCGACATTTAATTCGCTTATTAATTATAACGTTGTCATATATTTGCAGGCATGTCAGAAGTGATCGATCAAAAATTCTGATAAATTTGTGTGTTGCGTTAATAACGTCATACATCCTGTTCTTGGCAGGTGTAACAAAAACTTCAAATAAGGTAAGACTATGGAATTAAGGGAATTGAACAACGAACCACTAAAAATAAGAGTTTATAAGTTCGTTCGTCATTGACGCTACATTCTATGTATATCGAGCTGTTTCCTTTATTTTGACTTGGACGTGATTCAAAAAGTAATGTTCCAGGAGTTAAATATTTTCCTTTCAGTTAATTAAGTAGCATTTTGATATTTTACTTGCAGTCAATTAGGTTTTGTTCATGCAATATTCAAATGTTCAGAGATGATTCTTCAACAAGAACTTATGACAACTCTATGAAATTTGAATGAAAATAACATTTTATGAATGACGGTTTGTATTGATTTACTCTCACTAGAACGCTAAAACCGAAAGATTGCAGTTAAAACATAGTTTAAATAACGTTATTATGTATAGACGGGGTATTGCAGGAAGGTATGCTAACAACTAAGTCAATGTGTTGATGATACCGTCAATACCTAGCCGTCCAACAGCAGATGTCTCGACCGAGTGCAAGAAAATAAAAACAACACTTTATAAATGATAATCATTTCGACCTTTCGGACCACAAGCAAAGACATTTCCTTATTTTTTTAACTAGCGTAATTATCTTTGATAATTGACTTTAAGGCTAAATATACAAGAATAATATAAAGGTCAGTTTATACTGAAGATCAGTTTACATCAAACAGGGAATTTACCCTGGTGATAGTTGAATATGGTTACACCTTGTTGCTGAAATGAAAAATAATAAAGGCAAAGTTACGTGTGGGTGTCGTTAAAATATTATGCTTTACTTCATTTGAAATTATACATCGAAAATAAATTCGTTTTGATATACATGTAGTACAAAATTTGATTCATTATAAGAAAAAAAGTTTTATTAAGTACGTATGAAATAATTCCGCATGCTTTTGTGTCAAAATTTGAGGTCTTGTGTCACATTTTTTTTAGTTTTAAATATATGTATTTCATAATTATTTAGGTTGTCTGTACTGCTATTGCAGTCGCACTGCATTACCTGTTCTTGCTAGACTTTGCCTTGATGTTAGCAGAAGGCATTCAAGTGTCAATTATGGTTGTTATTATTTTCCGAACAAAGTCAATACTTCAGTGGCTGCTTCCATTGTGCTATAGTAAGTGTTGGTGTAGAAGATGAAACGTTTATGATGACAAAAATATTTGTTAAAACCAGCAACAGCCTAAACATTAATCATAATTTTAATTCGTATATATTGAAATTGGTAAATTAGAGTTATTTTACCCTAATAACTAAATCAAAAAGCATGTATCAAGAATAATTCCAGCTAATCTTAAATTAGTATAACTACTCAACAGGTGTCATCTATCTGTAAATAAGTAATACTTAAACATGTATAATATACATGTATTGATGATGGAGAGACGTAAATTGTACATCACAATAAATTATCTATGGCATAGACAATTGTAAAGACTAGAAACGAATTCAAGAGCATCAATTAAAAACCGCATATACTGTCGATTTAGTTACATTACATTGGCCACATCTTTTGTTACATATATCAAGGGTGAGCGACTTTATAATTTACAACAATGCATATTCTGTAGAGTGTTATCTGGACATCGATTATCAGAGAATATTCAGAGCTAATTGAAGCACCGATAAAGATACTCTGCATTATACATGTTATATGTATCTAAATATTTAAAAATATGCAAAATCCTGTACTTGCAATCACATAACGACTAAACTCAAGTAATCATCCCACAAAAAGATGTGGTTTTTGTCCATTGGTTGCTCTGACTCATTTACTTATATCTCAAATATGAGTGTTTTAATATAGTCATATATGTCGATCTCTGTTAAAATATTTTAACTTTCATATCTAAACGGGGGTAATTCAAACTCATCTCTTTGTATGGACACGTGTATATTTTTAAAAACAGAATGTTCACATATGACAAGTCTGTGTCGTTGAGTTGCTCTCGAATTGACTCATAACCGACATCATCTATTTTATTTCAATTATTGTATATTGATCTACGTTTACAACATTACAGTTATACCTGCTGTAATTGTGAGCATTTCTGCAGGAGTTACAAAGTTACAAGGATATGGTAACAGTCAGTTGTACGTACATATGTACTTTACGATTATTCTTTTCCTCGTTATTTCATGGGGGCATTTTATTTGGAGAATTAAACCAGGGTTAAACGGATTGTTTTTCATCAACCTATTTGTATTAACAAAAAAGGCAGAGAATATAATCGTAAGAATATATACATTTTAAAGTCATATGAAACTTCAAATTAAAAAAAAAATGAATATGTTTTATATACTAGTACTTGAATGGCTAAGTTAACCATAAACATTATTGTAAACGAAAATCCTTTATCTTATCAAAATGTTTCGAAATCTACTGCCATGAATCCTTGTCTTCCCGTACCCTCATTTGCCGATAGCTTTTCTGTATGCAGTGACCTTAACCACAAGACCTGTGATTAGGCCTTCAACAACCACACAGCGCGAGTTCGAGGGGAAAACCATGTGATTAAAAGCATGTTAACAAACGCGCATTGGAAGGTAAATAGTGTTAATTCATTCTGAAAGAACAATTAAATACACTTAATCATTAAACAATTGTTAAGGCAAAGTTAAATTAACGAATGGAATCGCATAAAAAATATAAAACAATAACATCTCTCTATCAACCCACTCATCAACCCACTTTTTTTTCACCAAGATTCCGTGTTGGTTGTTGATCAAGATCACAGTTCGGTAAACCGTAAACATGGGCAACAAAACAGAAAATTAATTAGTTTGTGATCAACAATCACTGACTGAAATATTTTTTTGTCGATTATACGTTATGTGTTCGTTATAAATGTTAATAACGTACAAACAGGACCAATGAGGACGTAGTTTAATATAAATGCAGGCATTGGTTCAACAATTTCTTTAATATTTTATTTACAAGAAACTCGTTTCATATGATTTTAAGTTAGATTATTTATCGTAGAATTGACCACGGTCCCTGAAAAAACAACAAGCATAGTTTCTCTCATTTCCATTTACAATATCCTGCATTCAAAATTGTCGACTATTTAATTTTCTTTTAGCTGCTGGCTGACCATCGAATCTAAACTTATATGGGCGTTTGTAGCACCGGCACTCTTCGTTGTCATGGTAAGTTTACAAACAGCATACATCACACAATGGGATGCTGATTGTTAGAACATAATTTAATTATTCATTGTATTTGCAAACATGTAGGTCATTTGAAAAAAAATGTTGCTTGAAACAATATGGTAGACCATATTGAGATTTTAAAGGTACCAATTTCTTCACGAGTTTGATACAAGTGTTACAAATAAAGATAATAAAGTAATATTGCGTACATCGTTGTATTACACATTTGGTAATTGTATTGATATAGCCTGTAATTTCGATTGGTAAAGTTTGTAGAAAAAAATCAAATATAATCTGCAATTAGCTGTAACAAAATATGATTTTTGTTGACTTCAAGGTTGCAAAGTATTTGACCCAAACAAAGGATATTTCCCGGGAGGCCGAAATTATTTTCAAATTTTCTATTAAGTGTAAGACACTACACCATCGCTGGTTTAAGAAAATGATTAAAAAAATGTGGATCAAAAGATATGATCTTTAAATCTTCATTTTTTATGTTTATCATCTTAAAGATGAATTTACTATGGATTTCGTTTGCTCACATTTAGCATGGTTAGTTCACCCAAAGGTTTTTGTCTAATTTTTTTTTGCAATCTTATATATACTATTTTTGAATGTATGTTGTTTTGCTTTCTTTTAGTCATGGAATTATCTGTGGATTTTCAATTTATTGCGTTTGGTAGCCCCCTTGTTAGGTTCTTTCTTTTGTTTAAAGGTCTAATATCAACTTTTAAAATATATATGGTATAACAGTCTTAAAAAAAAGCCTACAAAGGTTGCACCAAGCCTATCATTTGTTTTTAGATACAATGAGTTAAATAGACTTTTAAACTGTTTGCTATATTTTCATTTGACTAATCATCTATTGGTTCTTCTTTTCTTTAGACTAACATAATTATCCTGATAATAATGATATATAAAATTATGACAATCAGAGGACTGGCTGCAAAAACACTTAAACAAAAATCAAAGTAAGTAAATAATAAATTGTTCTTACATTTAATTAAAAATAAATGACTATACAATTCAAAATCTAAATATTTTGTTACCAGATTGCTATTGAGACTGGTGTAGATTGCTATCTCCTATATGTTTAAATTATTATACCTTTTTAGTCTAAATACATTCAGAATGTATTTCGTCAATAAAACTTAATCTATTTATATATATATGTTCTATATCGGCTTTCTTAAAACGAAGATGTGGCAACACTCCACCAGACACCAAAATGACGTAGTATTTAACAACTATAGGTCACCTTACAGCCTTCAACAACGAGTAGAACTCATACAACATAGTAATATCTAAAAAGTCACGAAATGACAAATGTCGAACATTCAAAAGATACAACTAACGGCCTGATTTATATACAAAACAATAAACAAAAACTAATATGATATACAGCAACAAATGACAACCACTGAATTACAGGTTCCTGACTTTGGAAATGCACATAAAGAATGTGGCAAGGCTTAATATGTTTGCAGGCGCTTAACCCTCCCAGAAAAACTGATAGTACCGACATATAGTCCCTTTTAAGTAATGAGTTACAGCAGTTGATAATAGGTCAAAACTGGTGTTAGTGTCGTCATTTATCAATCTCATCTTTTTGTGACGTTATAAATTTAGCATTGTATTAAGGAAATACTAAGGAAAAACACAAATGTAAAAGTAGTCTATATATTGATAATCACAACAATACAACAATATATAGCCTAACATTTAACGTTATTGAAATGCAATATCCGCTTTAACGCGAATATTTAAGCAACTGGTACCCCTTTTAAGTACGTCCAATACGTATTTGGTGTATAACCTTCTGCAAATACCTTCGTGACCACATGCCCTAGAAGTCATTAAAATATAACAGAAAACATTTGGTGTAATTATAAAGCATAAAGGGCTCAAAACAAGCTTTCAAATGTTTCGGTTTTGGCGTTCCTTATATGGATAATTCGAGAAAAGTATGAAATTAGTGAAGTGTTATTTTTATCATCTAAAATAGTTATCCTTTCGTTTTACCTTAGGGAGTTGGAACTTATAGAATTTTAAAGTCTTAAAATTTAGAATGAATTGTTAGTTTATTTTATCTTATTCTAAAAGAAAACAATGTTTTATCATTGCTATGATTTCATTTTGAAATTAATATTTTACAAATTGTTAAGTACTTGTAAGAAAGGCAAACGATAGCAGAGAAAACAACATAATAGCTTAGGACTAAGATAGACTACACCGTATCAAATAAAAAGGACAAAAAGACAACCAAAATATAAAAAAAAACACAATATAAAGTATTAGTAAAGATATGATGCAGACTGTGGTATCCTTTATTTCAAGGTATATGAGATAGATTCGTTCAACATAGTCACTAAAATTTTGATTACATAGTGAGTGTTCATTTTCAATATAGCGGATCGTGAAGCTGAATGATAATGCTAACATATTGCGTTCTTCAAAAAAATATCCTGTATGAAGTCTAGTCCATGTAAAAAAGGTACAAGTCGGAAAGTGGAAGGTCACAGTTAATTCCTATCCGAATGTTAATGGTCTGTTCAAACACAGGTCCTCAAAACGTAACAAATGTGTTGTCAATCAAACAAATCAAGCATCTTGAAGCTGTATAATTTAGATAACTTTTTCTTTTCTTGAATCAGACATTATGCATGTGTCAGAGGGTTTTTTACAAAAAAATATTAATCCTTCTTTTCAAAACAAGACAGTTGTACCTAAATACATTGACCATTCTTATTTATTAGATTTTTCAAGCCGTCTAAAATGAGGGGTACTAGTAAGGGGCAGAGAGGTCAAATGCCTTTTTCAACTATTTCGCGAGGAAAGAGACTATATCTGTAGAAATGTTTATTATCACCATCTGAATCACAACAGAGATTCACAGTTTTCATTACTGATTGAAATGATGTTAATATTCGAGAAGAATTTTTGTTAACCAATTGTTAGGCTCGGCAATTAAACCTTGTTTGTAAGAACCCTTACGTTTATTTGATAGTCAGTGCAGTAAGGAACGATGTTTTTTTTTCAACGCTGGTTGAGATTCAAATATAACACAGAACCTACCTACCAGCAACGAATTTATCTTTAAGGTAGGACATACCTTATACAATGCTATGAAGATAGATGGTTACATATCAATTAAGTTTTCTATTCTGGTTTTAACTTAGTCCCGAATTGTAACAAATGTGTTTGATTCATGGTAGAGCGATTTGTGTATAAGTTTATAATAGATATGTATTAAGGTATAAACGAACTTCTTAGCCCAACTAAAACGCAATGAAGCCTCCCTTAACATAATCCAGAAACTTAAGGCAAGATTGAAAATTGGACTAAACTTGTGTCCTTTAGTTAAAAATTAAGTATTTCTGTTTGAATCTTTCAGGGCAGGAATTAAAAGTATTTGCGTAATTTTTCCACTATTCGGAATTACATGGATACTTGGCGCATTTTCGGTGAACGAAGATCTAGTAGTATTTCAATACTTATTTGCAGTATGCAACTCACTTCAGGTATATATAAAGCATAATGCAAACAATTTTGCAACCTCTTTGAAAGATAAAAACATGATTGTGATATGAGTTTGTATAGTTAAATAATTCTGGATTACATTCAATGATATTTATATGTATTCATAAATCTGCCGCAACAAATCGGACTAGACTTATTCTATGTGTCACTGTCACTATGTTACGGTTCTAAGTAACGGCTTTTTATGTCTATCGTCTGCTCGAGTATTCTAAGACATGTTACAACAAGGACATTTACATTCTTAGGAAATCATTTCATCTTATTTATAGGTAGCGATTCACATATCTATTTAACTCTGTTGACTGGAAAAGATATATATTTAATGCATATTGACTAAAAATAAATTAGGCTAGGGTACCTGATGAGGATGTACAGCCTTGGTCGAATGTTACCTAAATGATATCCTAAACACAATGTGTAATATCATCAAATCATACAAATTTCTAGTAGATTATTTGATTACCATAGATCATTACTTCGGGGAAATTCTTTCAGATATATAGATGTGCAAAATATTCTAATTTATCACAGAACAATCTACCGAAGAAAGGTCTAATCAAGTTTCAGCAGTTTATAGTCCTGTAGTTTAATTCACACATATACATGCATATAACTTAAACAGCGCGAGACTTCTAAAGTCTTTATAGAAAATATATATAATGGTATTAGTAAGTTTGGGATTGGTTCATGGAAATGAATATTTACAAAATTCTATCTACGATTTTGGTTTAAAATTTATCAAAATGATAATTTTGCCTGCCTTTCTTAATTCTTAAAACTCTTACCGATTTCTCCAGTTTGAAAAGTAAAATTCATCCATATTATTCAGTATTGTAATGATATATATATTATTTTCCGTAGTTTTTATTATGTCTTTAAACATCTTATCTTACATCAATATTAATTGATGCACATTGCCTAATGACCAGATGCTAATATGTCATGCATATGAATACGACAACAAGTTAATAAGATAATTAGATACATGCTGTAACATGTGTCATGAAAGACGGGACATTTGTTCTACTTCTGGAAAAGATATGTTTAAGGTTCATCATCATAAAAAATGGACAAAATGGTTGCGTTTACACCTCAAAAATTACTTTCAGTACACAAAATGCATTATATGTTTAGTTATTAATGCGTTACATAGAGCGTAACACTATTTCTAGCTGCACAAGATTTACTGTACTCAACGTTATATCTGAGGTGTAAACACAACCATTTTTTCCATTCGTTGAGATGAACCTTAATAGGTGCAGAAATTGTGCATTGCAACAGGCCGTGTACGGACTCCTTAAAGAGCTTATGCAATGATTTTTCGATGTGTAGAGAGGATTGCACTCTCTTCACAATACATCGTGACCCTTTTTTAACATGACGTGGCGTATATGCACATTCCGAAAACCCAAAAGAACTCCTCCCTGCAGCTAATGAGTGGTAGAATTTCAAGGAATGAACATATCCAAACACACCAGTAAATTCGGACTTACGGTAACGTTGGTAATAATTTCAAGTAGTTTTATTTTCACTAGCTACGAAATATCATTTGTCTTTTACCACAAGGATTGACGGGGATATAGAAATATTGTCATACCCGGACTATCCTGTTCGGAAGTTAAAATCTTGCTGCAGTATGATATCCATTTGTATGTGAAGGATCTTTAAATACGCACCCACGTCCGGTTTGAATAGGGAAGTTAATTTTAATGTCTCGTGTAAGGTGAAATCCACATTGTCTGTTAGTTAAATAAGTTCAACGTTTCAACAAATTTAGTTTTGGTCTGTAGGTGAACTTTTGAAAGGTAGAACTTTTGCAACGTTGAATTTTTCCCCTTTTTATTCATACCCACATTTCCAGCGGCAATTTCCAAAATATGAATCCATCGTCCAGATCTACGTATCTTACAGAACTTCCCGACTATATCTATTTTTAATTCGTTCTCGTTATGAATATGCAAACACTTGTTCACTGGACATTAAAGAAGTAAGAATCATTATCCAATCAGTTATCTTTGACTAATACTATGTATATATTATTTAATATCATCATTAAATAAAATATATTCCTAATTCATTTCAGGGCTTTTTCATATGTTTGTTTCATTGCTTTTTAAATAAACAGGTAAGTAAAATGGATGCTAGAATGAAAATAAAAAATCTTACTGCTGTTCATCATTAAAAACATTAATTTCACTCTATGAATAGCTTTTTTTCGTAAGAATATCTTTTGATCAGAAGCATTTTTAAACGGCTAGTACAATTTCTTTGATACAAAAAAGGTAAACCATTAGTTAATAGTGAAAATATTGAAAATTTAAAGCAGAACATGACACCAGATCTTATTTTTATATTAATCTCAAAAATAAAATCCATTTAAGGACGACCGTTTCAGTGGTATCGTATAAGTGAATTGGCCTTGACTGCAGGAGATCATCATGATCATTGGTTCGATTCTCGGTTAGGATAATCCAAAAGCTGAAAATTTCTCTTTTTGCTGCTTCTCTTCTTAGCAATAAAAGTGTCGAACAGTTCTGAACTGACCGCAGTAGCTATGTTTTTTTTTTATTCCGAAAGAATGGGCATGATTTTAATCTCCAGGATTGGTTAAGAATAACATGACCGTTTTCTGTTGAACATTATTTTCTTATGATTATTTTTATTTTATTATCAATAAGTGTAAGGAGTTATAATCACAAGTGCGATACAATATTTAATATGCCCAAACAAATGTGATTTATCAAAATGAAACACTAAAGGGGACAATATACGAATGCGAGACTAGCCAATCAAAAGCTGTATAACAGATGTACAGTCGGATATGAATAGTTGTTTACAAACAAGCATGTTTATTTAAAAAAAAGATCTCCCCTATATATTTGGAGTGATTAACACTGGAACAAAATCGCATTAAAAAAAGAGGCAGATGATACCAAAAGGACATGATTTTTCCATGCGCTGCGGACGTTGCCACTTGAACATGCATGTTGAGCAGTTGAATGTATTTCTGTATAGATTTAATAGCTTGCATTCATACCTCAAATGGCATTTTAGGTTAGACAAGGATATGAACATTACCAAAGACGGAGAAAGGCCAGTCGTTTGCTTGAGTCAAAATCATTTAGTAGTTCAGTAAGTTATTATATTTCAAAAGACAGTTAAATACAATTTTAAATTGTTTAATCAAAGGATATGACTTATGAATAACTTTACTCGTAGTGTATTTTCTTGACAATTAAGGTATGTAGGGAGAAACAGTGTTTTACGACGATTTTAATATATAAATGTCAGCAAATATGGATACGGAACGTGAATGGCACTGCAACACAACAAAACATTTAACAAAAATGCATAGAGAAGGCTTCATACAGTCTTCAACTGTAAAAAGAAGTTTATACATTTGTTTAAGCTCTAAATCATCTGATTCTATTAAAATTGTAAAAAAAGAAGTAAGAAATAAAAGCACGAAAACAATCTTAATAAAGAAACGAAAAAGACAACTACAGAGAAGGTTCCTGACTTGGACCAGGTAAAATCAAAATAGTTTTTTTGAAATTACAATCCTCCATATTTTTATTTACATCAGTTGAAGTTTTTAATATTTAATGTACAACTAAGTTAACGACATTACCGCGATTTTGAGAGAAAGTATCATTTTAAAACAGCAGACAGGGATAACAGGTTTTATGTTTCGCTTGTTACTGCTACTTCTTCATAACTCTTATAATATTATGTAGTTTTCTATACGGATACAATAAGTGGACAGAAATTGATAAACAAAAAAATATATATCGATATTTTGTTATATTTCAGTTGATATCACTAATACTTATTACTATTCATAGAAGATATATCTCTTCACTTTCAGGATTTTCAAACAAGAAGGACACGTGATAGCACTAAACACACCACTGAAAATCGACGTAGGTCAGATGAAGACGAAATATTAAAAGGTCGAAATCATCATGCTAATACTTTTTACACTCAGTCCAAATTCTATAATCCTACTTTTGCTCATTAATTTCATAAATAGATTGTATGTAAAACAGAAATGGAATATTAAAGAATGTGACTGTAACAATAATCATGGTAGCCATCTGTTAAACATAGGAAAGACTTTCGCAAAATTTCTCATATGTTGATGAGTTTCATTAAAATTAGAATAAAGTATAGTTGTGTGTTGTTGTTGTTGTTATATATGTAGAATATAGTGGTCAGCAAAGGACATGATGTACAATTGTGGTTTAAATATTTTTCTGATTAATTAGAAATAGTTGTGTTGTTTGTATACTCTACACTAGAAGGTTTAAAGTTTCGTTTTAAATCTTTGATACCTAGATCTATTACGTAAGTCATGTTCAGGGAATTGTCAATTGAACCGAACATCAAGCAAAAAGGATTTCTGTATGTCTTTATTAGAGGTGTCCTCAGTAAGAATCAGTTTGCCATTGTGAAGCCTTTGAAAGTCATAAGATATTGCTCTGCCACAGTTACATAAAAGGGATAGAGAACGCGCGGTAGGTATGAAAAAAGATACGACAACAAGCAACAAACCAGTATTAAACAGAAATTCTATCAATATAATTTGGGCACTTGAAACTGTGAATTGAGCTCTGATAATGTTATGTAACACAATTTTGATTGAATATAATGAATTCCCGAAGGTTTATGAACAGATGATATCAAACCACCCATAGCCACGTCGTGAACTGGTGTATATTTTCGATGACCGTGATTACTTTTGCGTCAAACTGAGATGTTCAACAATTATAATTTGTTGATATAACTACACCTGGGAATAGACAAAATACGTACACCAATGATTTTGTCGTAGCATCCGTTAGGAAAACCTGTTCACATTTTTTTCTATAAAATAATATGCTCTTTGTAAGCGATATTATGTACTCTGTAGGAGGTGACTTGTTGAACGGTAGAGAAATAATGGAATGATCAAGCTGGTGAAAGTGTTAACAGAGAAAGTTATTGTTATCGGGATTATAAACATTAGACTGGAAATCAGACATTCATTAGTTAAGTCTTTGTCGTGTTTTCCGACTTAAACCAGTTCACAAAGATGTATTCAATACCGTACATAATATTAGAATGAGTACAATCCAGCTCCTCATGACAAGCAATACGTCCAGCATTTTGTTGATATCATTTTCTTGGTATTTGTTGTCGAAGACGATGCTATGATCTTTAAATTCAGCATTTGGAATAGTATAGTAAAGCTTACAAAAATCAAATGTTTTGATATTATTACAAAACTGTAAAGATTGTGAAAAGTAAAATATCAATAATACCGAACTCCAAGGAAAAATTCAAAACGGAAAGTTCCTTATCAAATGGCAAAATCAAAAGCTCAAACACATCAAACAAATGGAAAACAACTGTCATAATCCTGTGTTGGTACAGACATTTCCTTATGTAGAAAATGAAGGATTAAACATGGTTTTATAGCTAGCTACACCTCTCACTTGTATGACAATCATATAGCATTCCATTATATTGATAACAATGTGTGAGTAAAACAAACAGATATAATAGGTAAAAATGTAAAAAATTAGGGCAAAGCAGTCAACATTTTGATATAATCTCAATCACTACAAAAACAAATAAATATTTAAACAAAAAACAAAAACAAAATGGCATGTATACACTCTATAGACAAAGTCATTAATAAAAATGAAAGATAAGAACACAAAAATGACCATAGCACAATAAAATAATGGCACGATGTATAAATACCTAGGCATGTCAAAAGTATATACATAAAACGGATTAAATTGTTAAGGTTCAAATATACAAAGACAAATAAAAAGAACACTATAACACGTGATCTAGATGATAAACAACGACAGTACCTAGAATCTATACTTCAAAACCATCATGTACTATTTGTGAAGTTGATACGGAATATTTATCAACAAGGTCTTGTTATCTTCCGATTAACTTTTTTTAGAAAAAGGACGAGACGTTCTTTGACATAACCCTGGTTCATAAACTTTCTGCTCAAACACTGGTGACGTTTTAGTGCATTTTGAAGTAGATCTTAAGAATTTGCAAGAATCCAGATCTGATTGATACAGCCGGTTGAGTATTTCTTACACAACATTTCAAATTTTAGAACATTTCGAATTGTTCTATTATGTTGGATTATTGCTTTTATCTTGTAATACTGAATTAACCCTTTAAAGTTCTTTAGCATCCTACAGTTGAATTGGATTTTTATATTAAATTGTCTACAAACCGGAACATCATTACCTAAACCGTACGCATAATGATGATATTTCTGTTCGCTTGTCATAAATGGTGGATACAAGTAGATTCTATTCGCATACTATACAAATAAAGCACACATGGATTTGTTATTTTTTGCAGTTATTTCAATTGGTATCGGATTCATGCTCGTAGATTACTCTCTGTCATATTTCTTTCTCGTTTGTTGTTTTATGATAAATAAGGCCATTGGGAATCTCGTATGAGTATTTTTTTTTATTTTCATGTCAGGCCCTTAATTTTTAGCACTATACAGTATTGATTTTGGTCATTGTTGAAGGCCGCTTGGTAACATATTGTTGCTTACACCCATGTTCTTTGGTCTGTGGTCTTGGTGGATAGCTCGAAATGGTAATCATAGATATTTTATAATGGTATAGGAATCCCTGATACAAGCTTAAGCAATCATAGTTGAACTAGATTAGAGTCCTAGTCAATTTTGAAATAACAAGATAATTGTTATCACTTGTATCGTTTCCTTTTAACTGTATAAACTGCTTTTGTAAGCAGCATTCCATCAGTATATTCATATTCTGGAACTATTGCAGGCACCACTTCTTTTCAATACCCCTTTCAGCTATGGAATGTTTTTGGGTCGGGAAGTTTCGAAAGTATATTGTATTTTAATCTATATAAATAAGATGTTGTGGTATGAGTGCCAATGAGACAATTCTCCATCCAAGTCACAATGTGTAAAAAGTAAACAATTATAGTTTTATAACATGTGGCTGTTGTGAACGTTAATCAATATCGAACAGAGAGGTCATCAATTTTAAAACCTAATCCACATTTACTGCCTTGTGCTATTTCAACAACATAAGTATCAAGTTCAGCAAAACAATAATGGCCAATATCACTGAAAACAAGTGAGAGATGATATCAATGTGCAATCGAAAATAACGTGTAAAATAAGAGCAGACAACACCATGGCAAACGACAAAAGACGAAAGAGCAAACACCTACAACTAAACAACTCATAAAAAACAAAAACAAAATTGAGTAACACGAACCCTACCAATAACCGGGATATAAAAGGTGCTCCGGAAGGGCCGGCATTACCTGCTTCACATGTTACATCCGTCGTGTATCTTTTTTTAAAGAAAGTGGTTAGTGATTTTTATTGATTAAGCTACTTGCAATAGCAGATTAATAAATGTCTCTTGTGTAACAATCATACATCAGCAGAAACAAAATATTTTTACATGTTAATCTCCTAACCCTTATACTTAACTGAATGAGAAGATTCAAATTGAAAACAAGGTCTCCCATGACAAAACTAGTTTCTTTGTTTTTCAAATAGGTCCTCTTATTTTCGACTTTTTTTTCATGTGTTCTTGTATCTCTCTCTTTTTTTTGTTATAAAATGAATTCAAGCGGTAAGTTTTGTTCTAACGCAGCACCATCTCCTGCACGTCTTTCAGTTTTCTCGTTTGAACTGATTTAAATGTTTTATGTTGGGGCCTTAAGGAGAAAATGCCCTGTTTATGGGTTTTGCTCATTCTTGAAGGCAGTACTGTCACTTTTAGTGGCTTCCTTCTACGTCATTTGATCTCTGGTGGAAAGTTGTTTAATTTACTTTAAATTCAGATACTGAATTATCCTGCGCGTATCTTTGTGTTTTTTTTCGGAACTAAATGTAAGCATGTTATGGATTAATTTTTTGCCAATGGAGTCCAGTTCATGGTTTAGCAAAATTGCTCGATCTAAGATATATGTCGCGTTCCCTGTTTTATGCATAACAGGTTCTGGCATAGTTCTGGGTATTTTTTTAGTAAGGTGAAAAGCATGAATCTTGAATTATGTTAAAAAAGCTACTGAATGTTTCCATTAATTCAGAGGTCCTGTTTATAATGTAACAAATGATTTAAATACGATGGATCGTGAATATTTGTGGTTATAAATTCCGACTAATGCAGCTTCACAATGATAAAGTAAATAAAGCACGATTGCTCATAAACAGCTGCATATAATGTCATTCAACCTTCTAGGTCTACTCGTTTGGAGCATACAAAGGGATGAACTAAGTATTCGGGCTTTTTGGCGGAGGTCGTACCTGGTCCGGATTGGTTAGGAGGTGTGATTCAGTGATGTTTTTATAGTGTTAATTTCATTTTGTATAACCTTCTGTTATTTTAATTAGTTCATACCTCAACGGGAAATTGTGTATTTCGCATTATGATTTACTTTACTGAAGTATCAACTGCAAACACTTTCTTGTGGCGTCTTTGTAAGATTTAATTTTGCGCGTGTTTGAATTTCTTTAAGTCAGGTGTGTTGTACATTTATGATGTTTGTTTAACCAACTTTAGCTGCTGCTTGATCACAAGTATTGCAACGTAAATCAAATATGTATGTTTGGGTTGCTTATTTACTGTAATCAATATAATGGAACTATAAACAACTGTTATACATGTCAGAGGTTGAATTTGAAATAAAACCAGTTTTAACACACCATTTTCTTCGGAATTTACCTGTACCAAGTCAGAAATATGACAGTTGTTTCCTATTAGTTCCGTTGTTTGATGTAGTCAAGCGTTTGTTTGCAATCAAAATTACAATCTACGTTTAGATGGGATTAGAAAATATGAATGAAGTTTAAATACCATTTTTAACAATATTGGTAACGGTAGCTACGTCAGTGCAAGTGTTTTCACTCTGAATTTCCTGTAATTATTGTGCAGCGATAACTCTAATGAAGATATGTCAAAAATGTGTTTCCAGTAAAGAAACAGTGCATTATCAATGTACTAAACGGTCAATATGTGTTTTATCAATGAGAGAGCTTGAACAGGCATAGCACTATTGCCAAACCGGTATACAAGTGAGAAGTTGGTATAGATCATGTTTATATTTTAACCAATTTTATATGAGGAAAATAACGAACTTGTTTTAAAATGGATCT